AAGGGAAAACTGGTACCTGTACCTTTTACAAAAAAATAGACCTAAAAAAGTATAGTCTTTGAAGAATCTCTCTAATATTATCACTTAGATGGCTGCCATGAATAACGATATCTCAAGAAACGATATTCTCACATGGACACCAAGATGGTAAGGCGAAAATGTATTCGTTATTTTTTATGGCTAGAAGTATGCAGAGCTCAGCGGTAAGTAATATAAAATGAATATTACAAAATTTGTAATAGCGGAGCTCCATGCGCGGCGCGAAGCGCCGCGCGTGGGAGGAGCCTCATAGGTAAGGGAATGTGGTAATCTACTCATCCGAGAAAATTTGGTAATCACGTGACCGTACACCGACCGACCGCTCGACCGTCCGTCCGCATCACAGGTATACCAATGTAAAATAACTCAATCAACAGGTATGGCAACCCAAATGCAACTCAAGGTTTTATTTGGAAGGAAATCACATGGCCGCCCGGACTTTTAGAAAGAAAAAACAACAACAAAGTCGTGTCTTTTTCGGCGTTATCTCTTTATGTTTACACTAACGTGGATAACAGAAGAAGAGCTAGAGCGAGTTATTGAAAATAAAGGAGACGAATTTCGTAGGAAGAAAAACATGGAAATTCAAAGCGGCGGTGAGAAAATGCTAGCAGCCAGCAAGGTGAAAATGAGCGGCAGTGAAAAATAAGAGCGAACATGAACACAACATACAAAATATTGGGTAAGCAAATACGACAATTGCTCCATAAAAATAATGTGTAACTAGGAAGTTTGACGTTTTAGTCATACAAATCAGCGTTGTAGTCGTGCAAAACAACGGCAAGGGAAAGACAAAAAAGCGTGCCGCACGTGCAAATTTGTTTTTTGGCTAATTAGAAGAAAAGGTGTGCTGCACGTGCAATTTTCTTTTGCTAATTATATCTATTAGTCTTGAAGCCATTTTCATTGCCGTCCCCGTTTAGCTTTACACGATTAAATTTTTTTTGTTTACACGTATTATTAACCAGAGCTTCGCTTTTAGCCCTGGCTAAATCTATATATTATACATACTAGGATATGCTCACTGTAAAGCTGTAACTTTTTTTCGCAAATTAGTTCTGGCCAATCAGAGGGGCGAACAATGTTTTGTCACGTGTGACAAAAATGATACACACAATCAAAAGCCACAGAGGTGTGTGTGTTTCGAGCCACAATTTTCGTCTTTTATAGGCGCTTGTAGCTTGTAGCGCCCTCGCTTGCAGACATTCCAAGAGAAAACACTATAGTGTTAATCGTAGAAGAGAGTATAATTCCAAACTGTGCAGAGCAATAATGTTTAAAAGAAAAAAACACCCTATATCTGAAAACAACATAAAATCAATAAATTTGCGAATTACCAAGATAAAATAGTGAGAAACAGTCGACCGCCATGATTTTGTTCCTTCTCAAAACCGTTAATGCTTGTTTTTTTTTTTTGCGCAAGCGCATGATCAGCACACAAATCCGCTGTCAAGACCTTTGACGATCGCTTTGCAAGTTGTGAGAACATCGTCTGGATTTCATTTGAAAGAATGATTTCATTTGAAGGAGCTGTTACTGTTCACTGTTACACCCTTTTTTCCTGAAGACACTTTACAGACTTACTCTACTGATAACACTTGAGATGTGTAAAATAAACAACTAACTACTGCATTTTCCGTCGCATTTATGCACTCAAAATGTACTGCGAAAAACGAAGGAAATGGTATTTCCTAAATTTAAAAAATAGTCAAAGTGTTAAATTGTTTAGAGTTCTTTCAGTGGTCTACCTTTTTTCTCGTGCGGACACCTTCAAATTGTCACGCTACGCCCGTGTAACTGTGGTGTTTCATTATTTCTACTTATAATTGTATTTCAATCTTTTCTTTTTGTTTGAAGTGTTTAATAGCTATTTGCGGGGCATCCTATATTGTAAAACTTTTTTAAAGGTTGTTGTTGTTGTTGTTGTTGTTGTTCTTGTACAGTGACTGTGCAGCATTCTCCCGCGCTGATGGCCGGTGAATAGTTAGCGGACAATCCAGTGCCCCAAAGCATCATCCTAACTGAGACGTCCAGTGTTGAAAGCGTAAGTGTATTAATTACTCTATTTTTGCATTGCATAAGTTACAACAGGCTGAAACTCGGTATCATGAAATTTTAAGGCTCACTGGTACAAAATTATACCAAAGGCTACGGGAAATAAAGTATTTTCCGCTGCTAGATAAACTAGATAACCTGACATAGAATTTTGTTCTTTTTAAGTCAAGAAAAACTAGCCTGTTGATATACATTCAGATTTGATATTAAAGTGTACGAGCATGGAATGAGGTGTACAAGACAATGAGCAAATAAATGTACACAACTAGACATATATTCCCCCTGCACGTGTATAAATAATTATCGTCTAATTAATACTCACCTCAAGAAGATGGTGATTACATCTTTTCGCTTTCGAGTACACATGTTCTGAAAATTTGTTCTCGGGCTGCAAACAAAGTGAAATGAAATATTTTTCTTAGATTTTTAGGGTAAATATGCCACTCCTCTGAGCATATGTCATTACTGTACTGCACTATGTTTGACTCTGTGGTAACAGTGTGGATCTTAGCGGAGTTAACTTTCAATATTCAATATTTCATTTTTCTTTTTGTCTTGATTCGAAGTCATTTTAGGAGGTAAAGGAGGCACTGTGGCAAGAAATACAGTCAAGTGCGGGGGAAGGACTTTTGACAGTCAATTTATTTCATTTTTGGAAATGTAGAAACGTCAACATTTTGTATGAACCTTCAATCTTCACATTTTCAACACCCTTGTCAAATACAAAAAAATTAGAAAGAGAGAAGTTTAAGAATCAAATTGTTTTAACTTAAAATTAGTAAGGTCATGGTAATTACTTACCCCAGAAGTTTCCCAATTTTCCCTTAAGAAGGGTTCGCTGTTACATTTGCGAGGATCCAGTTCCCACATCACGGCATATTTTGTAATGAGATGCTTATAATCTATAAAACATTATTTTTAAGAAATGATTTTATTATTGGATATAATGTTTCGTACTATATAGTCACAAGATTAATTGTGTGGCAGGAACGCTTAACGAACCCCTAGGAACGCCTGCCTGGGAGGCTATATACGGGGAGGCTCCGATACATATAATGTTTGACAGAAAGGGTGCGCCTTTTTAACACTTTCTATTGAAAAATGTTTCCTTTTTGCCATACCTACTTAATAAGAATAAATCTCTACAATGGGAAGGCCTCTCATTTTCGTGTACCGTTTAATGGGCCAAAAGCCCATTGTGGGCTCCTAGCTGGCGCGTCTTTTCGGATTTTCCCGCAATTTCATATACTATAGCTAGTGAATTCGCTGTCCACTACCTGAAAGCTGAAAACAGTATGTCACCTTTCGGGCAGTACCTCCCCGTATAAGCTATTGTAGGAAGTTCCCCCGATTTTCTAACAACACACAATCATGTGATTTTTTATCACCCACCGCTTGGGGGAATCCAGGATACAGTCAATTTGATTTCATCAAGAGGGAAATTGTCTGCGACAGGATCATACACTAGACTGTTTAAAGTCACGTTTGTGACAGGCGCCGGCTTGATAAGACCTGTAATACAACAGAAAATATGAAATATCTGAGTTTGCACCAGTGTAGTCCAGCAGTCGCTCGTCCATTGTGTGAGTAAGTCACCTAACAGGATACAGCCTGTGTATTGAACCACTAAAAACACCTAACCCTCGCCGCTACTGAAAATTTACAGCAGTTCCACCATACGGATGGCAAAACGTTATTTTTGGGATCTGACAAGGCTGACAAGCAAAAATATAAAGGAAGGGAAATAGATCTAGAAAGAGCGACGGTCGACCAAGAGATAGTTGCCGCACGCTCCTAGTTTTTATATGGCTGCTTTAGAATCATATTTTTTAAAATGTTAGATGATTATTCTCCAATATACTAGAAGATTCCCAACAACGTCAGCTGGTTCGTGACCTATTCACCTACAACGCCGTTTGCAGATCCAGTTCAGATGGCACTCTTCAAACCATTGGCAGTTATTCTTTAGAAACATCGCACACTCGGTTTTTATATTGGCTATAGTTTTTGAATATTATGTAATAAATAACTTTCCCATTCTGATTTTTTTTTTTGGGCGGGGAGGGTGCAGTCGCGAAGGAGCTCGTCAAGCAAAATGGTTCATTGAGACTCAGACCAGAAAGGGGACAAGCCCATGTAAAAAAAAAAGACAAGTAAAGAGGATGTTAGGCAAAAGACAGATCATCATCATCTCCATATCCTTTAATTTAAAAAGATGAAACTTAAAGTACAATGCTTATGGGCTCGTGTAAGAAAAGATGAAAAGCTAAACAGTTCACGAAGAAAGGTTCACATCCCCTAGAAATATCCTGAAATACAAATATCCCAAGAAGAAGAACTGAGAGTTAATAAAGTTTTAAATTCCCTTTTCTTTCAGCATTGCATCTTCTTTTCTCTTTTTAAGATCCCCAAAATTTAGATCCTCAAAATCCTCCTCATTCTCAATCCTTGTGTGGTGTATTTCAATAAAAGAAGCCTTAAAGATTAGAGACGTAACTGTCCAAACGTTTATTTATGATTCGATGAATAGGTCAACAAGCCTGGCTTTCAATGGCAAATGCACCATGCAGATGAATCAAGATACATTTTAGTAATGCGATAAGATACTTATCAGTTTTCAATGTTGCTTACTCGTTTGCATCGTTTGTTGCCCAACGCTTAAAGATGAGTTCTCGGTAAGGACAGCCACTCTAAACTTGTATAATACTGCTCTGTAGTCTGAACGAAATGGGGACTTGTCGATGTAAGCGCAAAGACTCGGGAGTGATATTGTTGCCTCTGGTATAACAAGCACCTAGGAAACGCCATAAATATAAGCAAGACTACTAACAAAGAATTAAAAGAATAAATTAAACCAGGAAACATCTATGAATAAAAGTAAACGCTTCAAAAATGATAGATTTTATTCAAACTACCTCTGACAAGTAGGCTGGAACAAATCCTTGTTCGCCCTCAGAAAACGCCATTTCGATCATGTACACTGGGCTACCAGTCGTGTTTTCCACAGCCTCCCACTTCAAGCTGATAGAGGTCAAACTCCTGTTTGTTACTAAAGGTATTCCTGGGGCTGGTGTCGAGGAACCATCTCCATTTATTATTGAAGAAAAGTTTTTAACCTTAGTCAAAAACTCACAACTCTCAAGACAGCTGCTTGAAGCTCTCTGAAATATAAAACAAATACAATTGGAAAACGGCCAACTTAAATTTCTGCAAAATGACCAATTCCGAACATTTACAGTAGATTAACGTAGCAAAGCAAGCCGGGTCAGTTGTCGCGACTTTTGGGTGACTTAATTGAAGCCAAGAGTTTTTTATCCCTTTGTGCCCCAAATTTTTAGGATGGTAGAACTTTCTATTCAAAACAATCGCATGTTTTTTGTTTTTCGATTTTAACGGGTTTTGGAGGGAAAGACGTCACATGATTGACAGCAAAACTGAAACTTCAACTAGTGACGTAACAGATAGGTAATTTTAAAGAGCACGACGGGATAGAAACAAAAGCTTAATTTCTTTAGGAGATCATATTACTGATAGTAACATTTTGAAATGTGCTTGGGTTTCTAACAATAGTAACAAAATGGCGGAAAATTCGAAACTTTTATAACTGCTTAATCAATTTCGTTACATCATTAGTTGAAATTTTGCTGTCAATAATGTGTCGTAATTTTGCAGCCAAAAAACGTTCAAATTGAGAAACAAAAAAACATACGATTGTTTATAATACGAAGTTCTACCACCCTGAAAACTTTGGGCTTAACGGATAAAAACTGTAAAAGTAGTAAATTGGCTTCAATTAAGCTGATTAGGTGACCCGAAAGCCACGACATGCAGCTGACAGCTGATACTTACGCATGTTTGTTTACACGCTGCCTCATCCAAATCAGACGATCCACATGGACCTAAGCACTAAAAGAGTTCAAATATCAAGGATAGGAATCAAAGTGGATATTGATAAATAGATAGCTTTTCATTTACGAAGCACTCTTTATGGATTCGCCTTTTATAGGTATTTTGCACTTAGTTGTCAGTGTTACTATTCTAAACTTTACTGATTGAAAATAATGGTACTTACTTCTTTACAGTCAGATGTTTGACAGGGAATTGTGGTTTCATTGCTTGCTGGATTCTAAAACAAATTTTAGAAAATAGGAATGCGTTATAACGGGATGCTTGTCAAACTTACTTCTAAAAAGTTTTGCAGGTCTAGATCGCGCAAAATTCGTCTTTAATCGATTTCAAAGTTTTTTGTTTATTCTTGTCATAGTGATATCGATTTTACTTAAAACTGCATTTTGATAAACTTCAATTCATAATCAATCAATGGTGAAAATTTCATAGCGATTGGACAAGGATAAAATCACTTTTAAGGGGATTGAAAATATCTGTATGGCCTCCGAGAAACTGTATCGAAACACCTTAAATCTACGCCTCTCGTTCGGCTTCCGACATACTAACAAGCCGTTAACCAGTGCCAGAGCTCTCGATCAATGTTTATAATTAATTGTAACTAATTAATTTATCATGTCGACCAAAGGCAGTTGCAATAAAACGATCATTTCTTTAGGTTCTGCCGGGTTCCAGAATTTGTAGTCCCGCAGATTAGTCTTACCCCTAAACGATAAAACGATTCTGCATCGTTTCTTTAGGTTCTTCCCCTTCCACGGTCTGCAGTTCCATAACAGTGTTCTATTCAACCAGGCAACAAATCAACCATATTCTCATTTACATCAAACTTTTCGTTACATGGAGGTCGCTAGAGAAAGGGACAAGACTGTTTTATGCTGATAGGCAGTAATATTAAGTTGGAATATACTGTTCGTGTCCAAATCGAAATCGATTGAAATTGTTTGATATTGGGCGATCAATCAGATAATTTGTTCGTTTCAACTTATTAAAGTGATAGCGATTATTTCTTTAAAAATCAACCATTGAAGTAAAAATGATAATCATGAGATCATCTTCAACGCAGTAGACTTGTTTGAAACCACGAGAAACTGACCATAGAGACACTGTTACTTAAAAGACAATTCATATGGCTGAGATCGTTTTAAAACGACCGTTTGGGGATGCCGAGAACGTATATATTAGAGAGATTAGAGACCTTTAGATTCTAAGACGAGTACGACTACGAGTACGAGATTTTCTCAATACTAAGTACTGCACCCGCGTGAACCAGCGTCATTTTGGCGGGAAAACGTGGTAGCCGTCGTCACTCTACTACGAGTTTTAGCGAGAATGTCGAAGTTGCGGAAACAAGTTATCAAATGTTAAAAGTTTTATCATTTTGCAATCAGTTCAGGGTGCAACCTCCTTCACTAAAGGTAACGGTGCTAACTTTTCTAGTGAAAAATGGTAAAATGAAGCTTTCCGGGGAGTCTATAAATATATATTTTGAGAATACGCGAAAAAACTTGAAGTCAAATCTCGCACTCGTAGTCGTTCTCGTCCTTGAATCTAAAGGTCTCTATTAAGCTTCACGTATACGGCAAACAGCAAACGTCAGATTCAAGTTGAGACTCAGCTGTCAAAAGAGAAAAAGAGCAGATAAAAACAGCTCAAAAACTTATGGATAAAAAATTGTGTGAAACTACTAATTTATGTGTAGAAATAATGAACAGTAAACGACAAGCTAAGGTGAAACTTGGCCAAGTGCACGTACAAATTCGCGTATACCGTTTGAAGTAAACGTGGTTCTTAACCTCTCTATTGAAAGATTGCTCACCTTCGTCAAGCAGTTTGCATAGCATCTGGCTTTGGTGATAGTCGCGTTGTTTGACTTTCCACTGACGGAGTTAAAAATCCAGAGAAATAACAAAAACTTGAAGGAATATCGAAGGTTGAGCAAGCGAGCCTGCGTTGCAGCAAGCCACATACTAAAATAATTTACACAGTCCAAACGCAGGTGAGTTGTTGATATCCTGCTCAAAACGAGAGACATGAATATTAGCACAAATATGCTGACAAATTGACGTTTCTGGTATTGGGTTGAATTTTTAGTAAAATATACTAGTAGATACTGGAGCATTACAAATTGTTTGTTTATTGTCATTATTTTTCCACCTAAGGACATGCATGGTATCAATGCTAAGGGAAACAAGATTAACATTCATTACTAAACCACCTCTTAGCGAAGCGAAGTACTACAGCTGGCGTTCATTTGTCAATAAAGTGATAAGCAATTAGAAACTATAACTGACATTCAGTATGAGCGATTCAGAAACACTGCGATATATTTTTGTAAAGTAACTTATGTCGGAGATAAAAGATCAATTTTATGATTCAGTCAATTAAATTGAACGTTTCAAGTTAAGGACTAATGGTAAAAAAATACTGTAACGAGAAGCATACGTTGCGGTAGAATAGTTTTTTGGATGTGGTCGGCAGCTATACTCGATTTCATTAACCGAGAGGGTGCATTTAAGTTTGGTACATTTGTTCCCCGACAATGTTGTATAGTCAGCAAGGTTTGCTGGGGCTTTTTGGATAATTTTTCTCTCTGGCTGTTGAAATTTCTTTTTTTGTCCCTGGCGCTGTCGCAATGAAACTTAAAAAAGCAATTTAGTTTAGCTAATTAGGTACAAGTTGACAAAAAAGTACAATTTTGAAGTAATTTGTTTGACATCTAACATAACTTGGCCTTTTAAACTGAAGACACTATTTGCTGGGAATCAGCTTCTATTTTGCTAATGGAAACCGCCATTATGCAGATATCAGTCTTTGGGGACTAACAGTTAACACTAATTTCCTCACAAAAGTCTGGTTTTGTTACATAAGTCTAAAAACGATTTAACCTTTAAAATTTCTTTTGCAGTTGTTATCTTTTAAAATGAAAATAAATTACTTAAGGCGATAGAGCTGAAGCCTTAAGAAGACTTCAAAAGATAGAGTTTTAATAATGCTTTTCGTGGCATGCTTGGTGAAATTGAGGCAGTCAAACCTCTCTTTGGTGCTATTTACAAATTAAAACCTGGTTATCCTTTAAAGTGTATTAAGACGGAATCCACCAGGAAATTGAGTAATTTTAATTTTCAGCGGACAAAAACCTTGTACCAGAATAATTTAAAGCATATTGCATTCTTTTTTACATGTTCAAGGGCTAAAGACGCAATTAGTCATCTTTCATAACACCAAAGAAAATCTCTTATAGAAGCCCGAGAAAATGAATTAGAATGTCAAATTTCACAAAATTACATCTTACATGTGAAACTTCCAGTATTTTAGCTGTGTTTTCACAATTCTTGTGAAATTTGACATTCATTTTTCCGGGCTCCCATGATAAATAAGTACCTCTTTAGGCCTTGAAAAATGTAAAGAAGAGGGCAATATTCTTTAAATTATTTTAGTACATAGTTTTAGTCCACTGAGAATTAAAATCACTCGATTTCCTTGGCGGATTCCGTTTCAATTAATATACGTTCTGATGTCAGATAATGCAACTGGATGCTGAATCCGTTTTCCGGATGTTCAAGAGATCGCTCATATAATGAAGTTATCAAGTAGTCTTAAGTTCGCCGTGCATGCCTCTTGCTGACTTTTTTGATGCAGTTTATTTTAGCCTGATAACTTTCGCTCTTTCGAACTCCTGTTTTATCGTTAAAATCGAGATTTCAGATCGTAGATTTTTACTATTCAATTTGTGGGCGCTCGTAAGGTTTTTTTAACAAGTTAACATTAAAAGTTATTAAAAATATTATTTTAAAGGAACAACTAAAATTTAGCAAATGATTTTGCTTCTGCGTTCATAACATACAATTCATTCAGATTCTAATCAATCACTGATTTCGTGGCCTTTCCTGTCGTACCATCCTGACCGTACCTAAAAATATTGAATGTCTAGAAATAATCTACCCAACTTTTTTAATTATGAAGGGTTAGAAAAGGAACAGAAAGTGCTGATAAGTTGCTTAAAAAGCTTAATCTTTACCTACCAGAAAATCCATGTCGAAGAAGAACAGATTGCGCGATTTCGTGTGGTTATGATAAGCGCACGCTGAGAGTTCCACTTTAAAAAATGTAGCCTTTTAAATAATTCTATTTATGCATTTTCAAGGGCAAATGGCCAAAGCAAAGCTTTACTGTAAGCGAAATGATTTAATATTTATAAATTTCTGTTTTGTTTGCAGGTTGACAATATCACCCGTGGGGACAGTTGTCATTAATAATAAGTGGCTATTTCACCTCCATTTTGCGTTACTGTAATGGCGCTGTTTTGTCAGGCCACTCTAATCGCATCTTTCTAGATCCATATTTTCACAATAAACAGCTTGCGTTTTATTTCATTAAATTTATATTTTAACCAAAAAAGTTTCATGGCACATCTAGAAATCCACTCTAAGCGACGCGATCGAAGTTGTTTCTATTTGGTCTTCTCAGGCCAAACTCACGCTTGAGCCTTGGTCGAATTTACAAGGCTTCACAATTATTTACCGGAAAATTTTATACTGTTACAATTTCAATTTTAACCAAGGTCAGAATTTTTCAGATCCCTCTCTCCATCACATTTTAGAATGAAAAAATTCTGGTTTACCTTTTTCGCTGAATTATAGCTAAAAATGGGGTAAGAAAATCGGCTTCAGAAAATCGTAAGAAATTTATTATGTAAGCTTACAAAATCATACGTGAGTGGAACGGTCATCTAGAAAGTTTTAGCCTTGCCCAAGCTATAGAAAATACTAAGCAATATTTTCTCCTTCGAACAGATGTCTCACAGAAACCGTCCTTGGATTCTCCTGACAAAATTTCACAAATGGATGACTAATTAAACATCTTAACATCGTTCCACGTTATTTGATCTTAATGGAGTAAGAAAAATGTAAATAAGTCTCACTTAACCACTTCCCTGTTTTTTTTTCCGTTCGCGAAAATTAAGGAAGTTGCTCTTGTCTTTTGAGAAACAGCGACATCTCTTCTTTGATCATGATAGCACAGCTGTATTAAAAAGATAACCGCTTCCAAAGTTGCCTCTATAATGCAAAATTATTTCATTAGGAAAAAAAAAACTTTCAACGTATACAACTGGTGATAAAATGAGTGCCACTTACCACTCTAATCTATTTTTTTACGATTTCCAGTCCTGAGCCTTTTATGCTGTATTACGTCATTGCGCGGTCTCCTTAACAAAGTAGTGATTGAAGATCAATAGAGTCAAACGTGTCAGAAATTGAAAGCACAATTTGACAGCATCTAATTATATTGATTTCAATTATGCTGTGGGTCTTAAGCTTCATTTCCCTCTGAATATATTTACTTAATAGGCGAATAAGCTTTCTTTTCAATTTTCTGAGTTATTGTGACACTACAGTGTCATTAAAGATCGAATTGACATTGTGTTTTTCGGTTTTTCGGTAAAGGCCTATTTTTTTTTCATTGAAGCGGCCTTACGGTTTGAGGTCTCCTGATGTTTTATTGTCAGTTTCCTTTTGTGAATGTATATTTTTTATTAAATATAAAAGAACAATTTTTTTCAGTTTTCCGTTTACTGTGTTGGCGTCAAGATTTTTGCAAAAAATTAAATCATCAGTTATGAGAACAACTATAAGTTCTTTTGAAATACTAGTAAGAAAAGATTCATCGCAAGTTGACCTTTTATGATAGTTGGAGTAACTTATCAGTTTTACTGCTGTTTCGCAGTTTTCAGTAGAGCTAAAAGTGCCCCAGTGTAATGTAAAAGAAGACAATGGAACTCAGGCAATTAAAGCAAAATCATATATTTGTATCATAAATTTACACCTTGTTTCAACTGGATTAGAGCTCGACAGAGATACGCTGTTTATTTTCGAATATAGATAAGTCAAAAAGTGAGGTGGTTATAATAACTTAAGTACAGGGAGTCCAAAGCAAATTTTGCCCGTAATTCGATTTCATTTTCAGATTTACAAGATATATGGAACAAAACAACTTGGTGAGCAAAGTAGTTTGGCATGGCCTTTTTTTTTAAAGACCCCCACCTGTTTTCCCCTAATTAAAAGTCAGGATCTCGTTCATAGCATCTACACAAATGCAATAGTAATAGCCATTAGTTTAAAATGACAATCTATATCGTGGTTTCCTGTGATTTTGCACTGATCATCGAGGTACCAGACAGTCAATTGTCGAGTTGGTGGATTTAATCTCGAGAACTTTAGCATAACTGTTGTAGTGTTTCCGACCATGGTTGAGAATTCCAATTATAAGTCATCACCTGGTGAAACTATAGCTAGCCAAGGGTGAATCTGGTCATTGCACTTACTGACGAGACTGATTTACCAAGAATTTCGAAAATTCAGTTCTTTTAGCCTTTCATCGATGAACAATCATCAACACCTGTTTAAAAAAAAGCATAACTTGAAATTTGCTATAAACGTTGGCCATGCGCACGATGTTGGTGACCAGCTTTTTGTAATAAATGGTCTAACACTCTATTATGCGCACCATATAAGCACGTTGAAGGCGCCATTAAGCACGATAAGTTTCTTAAGCCGGAAGAGAGAGGGACGATAACACCTTTAGAACAAAAAATATTCATATACTCAACTCCGTAGCTGAAAATGCTTCGTTGATACAAAATTCACTTTCTTAGAAGCTTAAATATCTCTGCCATTTTATTTTTATTCATTCTTTCTCTTTTCAACACCATAATTTTTTCTTCAGATAATATATCGACGATTGTTTGAAAAAGGCTCGATGAAAACACGGTTAAGGCTCGATATAGGCACTATGAAGGCACTATCTATGTACGATCAATGGAATTCAGGTTCGATGCACGTTTATCGGCTTCTTATTATTATCGTGCAAGCACGACGCACAATGACAAAATTTGACCTGTTTTGTTACGGCTGTGATCACCAACACCGTGCACTTAGCCTAGTTTTATTCGTGATCAACTGTTCAAACCGCCAGAGTACTAACGAGAGTGAACGTCGAAATTAAGAGATGTTTTCTAAGATTTTTTCTTGCCAGAGCAGTCTGGAGCGAAGCACCGGAAAACTTTATTATCAGAATAATTTTAACGAGGCTTATCAGACTCAAGATAGTCTTTTAATGTATGAAAGTGATGGCTTGAAAGTAAAAATTAAGAATATTTAGTGGCTGGAGAAAAACATATAAGGGAAAAATTCGCTAGAGTGTCGAAAAACTGACACATCAAATAAACTGAATTTAAAAGATATTAACACTAAAGTTGGAAAATGAGGCTATCCCTTTCAGCCGATTACGAAATACTTTACGGACAGGACTAGCATGTATAATTTTGAAGTGTTGAAATCATTCGGTCATTGTTGAGAGTGATAAAAATCACTCAGGCTGGAAGGGGTGATGTTATGTACGTTACTTGCACATTACCGTAAAATTCCGAAAATAAGCCCCGGGGCTTATATTTTTCAAAGGCCTTTTTTGAGGGTTTATTTTTGGAGGGGCTTATCTATGGATCAAAATCGATTGGGCTTGTCTTATAGTTGGAAGTAAATTTACCGTTTTTAACAAGGGATTTCAATGAAAGTTAATGCTGAACACACAGGCTCTTACTGCAGAGTACAGGAAAAGTTTGTAACCTCACTTACTCGCCTCACTCGCCTTCAGGAGCTGCATCTAAGTGAGCCAGAGTAATTATTACTGACAGTTTTTGTCTCGTTTTAGTTTTTTTGCTGAGTCAGCCGAAATTATTTCACGTCATGACACGTATTAATTTAGATTTGAGACAGAGAGACGGTGTCAATAGCCTCGCGTTTAATATCCACAAACTTAAATTAATTTTCTGATTGCAAATGGAAAGAGAAAGGTTTTAGAGAATTCCAAGTTCCTGTGAGTAAAAAGTAAGGATAATATACGAAAGTCTTGCTTCGAGGCTTGTTCATCTACTTTAAACGGCAGGTCGGCTAAAAAAACAAACAAACACAAAGAAATCAAGGTTTTCGGAAACTTTTAAGTCGTTGTACTTGCTGTCTTGAACTAAACAGTGTTGTTGTTGCACATGTTTCATTGAAGTTTTATTCATGTTTTGAAATGAAATGTCTGAAAATGGTTTAAGCATCGCGTGTTTACTCATTAACTCACATTGTTCATCCTCGCCGAAAAGAATTAGAACTTGAATTACGCCCAGTTAAGTATAAGTAGTAACTTAAAATCAGTTAATGTTTTTTTTTGGAGTTTTAAGAAATTAAAAGTTGGCTAAATCTATTTAGTATACACTACCACCTCCACTTCGGTGAATAATTGTTATTTATTATTCATTCAAAAAATTCCCCAATTCTGATTGGCTAAAAGCACACTCATAATTCACCATAACCAGTTACTGATGACCAAATTTAAAAGAATTTTGACTTTTGAATTTTGACCTTGGCTGACATCATTCCTGACCTGGCAAAAGAGCATGCGCCTTACTACTTAACGGGGCTCCTTAACTTCCTCTACCTGCTATCAATCCGTGCGATGGACTGATTGTTATGAAGAACCTGATAATGTTTACTAAAAATCAGGTATTTTTGTTTAGCTCGTTAGCACTCCTTTTTCTACATAACAAATTTAAAAACAATTTCTAACATTTGCTGATTATCAAATATGTTTAATATATAAGCTACATACACAGGTGCACACTTATTTCACTTTTAAATTTCTCTTTTTCTCTATTTTTCTCTTTGTCTATATTCCAAATTCGTGGACATGACAATTAAATCTAAACTTAATACGTTAGACAACACTGCGATATAGAAACAATTTCCGCTTTCCGTTTTCGTCTTTATTGACTCTTTAGTTGTCTCTGCTTCATAAGACGCGAGTGGCTATTTGGGTTGCCATTGAGTTATTTTACATCGGTATACCTGTTGTTGGGGCAAATTTTTTTTCCTTTTGTTTTTCGTTTTCTCACTTACTTGTTATCGTGTATTCTTTTTCTTTTCGTTCTCCTATATTTTGCTAATTACACTCCTTTGTTACGTGCTGTATGCAAATTTCCTTGTTATCTTGTGTTTTACGGACGGACCAATGGACATACCACCAACCCCGTCTCTTCAGCATTTGTAATTACCAAAAAACTTCTCCGATGGGTCGCTTAAAAGTAGTGTTTCTGATTGTAACTATTATTTTTTCGCTTTTGTAAGAATTTACTTTTTTTTATGGTTTGGTAATAGTAAAACATTTGCTGCTCGGCGTGGTGTTTGGAATTGGCCCTCCGCATTTTGTATGATTACCCTTGCCCGTTCACCTGTGGTGCACGGAAATGTCTAGAAGGATGGGTAAATAAGCACATTTTGGTTATAAACTAAAGAGCCCCGCTAGAGAACTTAAAACTAAAGAGCAAAACTAAGCAAAAACAAAAATAATTTAACTTTCACGGACAATAGGATATATTTTCGGAGATTTCGAAATTTTCTCGTGACATTTTGACATTTTGATCAACCGTTCGATTTTCGCAAATGACAGATTCGTCCAGAAATTACTCAAAAGTTCTCCGAACCCAAAACCAGTAAGAAGGTTTAAAAGCAATTGTTATTTCTATACAACTTTATTTATTCATTATAGAAGAAGAAAAAAAAAAGATAAAATGTAATTACGCTTACAAGACTTAAAACGTCATATAAGTAAACGTTTCTTCTTAAACTACAAATATCTAATTTAGATATCATTAAATTATTTTTACAACAAAACTTAGGGTCCTTTGCTTCAGTTCGTAATTAAAACTTACAGGGCAAAATATGCAAGTTCAAATCGATACTTGTCGTCCAGAAAAATTTATCCGCCATTGTATAGTGTGACAATTACTCAATAGTACACCCACATGGCAAAACGGAGTGAAACCAGTGCACCTTCAATTTTAAGCTAGATCTCGACAATGAGAACAGACTAACCAATGATCGTCACTATATGTGTTAAATACAAACAGCTTATTTTAATATGACAGCTGGAAAAGTTAGCTTTCAAGCGGACAGAGGGCAGCCCTTGACGATCGGTTAATTATTAGATTGCTAGAGGGCAATTTCCTTATTACCCGCGCGATATATTGACATTTCGATGGCGTCGAAATCCACTTTAATATCCTTCAATTCACTGAATCCCTTCCCTGCCAACTTATTGTTGTTATTAAGTCCAAAACCAGGATCAAAATTATCACCCCTTTTGTCAAGGTTCTTGAATGCCTTGGCCATGGTGGCAAGTTCGTTCCTTTTTGCAGAGTCGCCTGCGTCAATGTTTTCCCCTTCATTGCAGTCATCGCTTGTTTCTCTTAAGAGTTCGTCGTCTTCTTTGTCAAGAAACTCGTCGTCTGTGGTTTCGTCAACGAGACTGTTAAATGATGGTACATTATAATATTCCCTGGTTTCATCCAATGCACTGAAATCCAGGTAAGGGTTATCCTTCTGCATCATCACTTCCAGTCTCTCTCTTATCTGCGTAAAGTTTGGTCTGTCGTTAGGTGATTCCATCCAACAATGCGTCATTATCTCGTAGCTAAAAAGAAATCACAGAATGTAATTAACTGAGCGTTCAGCCCACCCTTGAAATCCATTCGAAAGGAATGATCCACATTGTTGAATGCAACATGTTAGATCCGTTTGAACATCTTTATCTTCAGTGGGCGGGTTCAGATGCTGGTGAATGGTGAAGGGTAGAGTTTGAATTGCATGCAGTTAAAACTATTGAGTCTGTTTCTCTTTTTTATTTTACTTTATCTTATTTTATTTTGCTTTGCTTTAAAAATTTTTTAAGAAAACGCCATGTTAATCCCGTCCATCAATAATAATTACCACGAAATGAAACAGACAAAATTGATCGAAATCTTCAATCTATAACCTACAAACGTAAACTCTCTAAAGAAAATCTATGTTTCCATAGAGTTTCGTAAACGAAAAAGAAACTGTAGGTTAAAATTTTGGCTTTTAAAAGTCCCGTGTTATTAAAAAGCCCTGGGTAATAATTGGAACATGACTTGCAGAATAATCTAATTACACAGTCATAACATACATTTCGTCATTGCAGATTTCTGGTTTCTCCATACGATAGCCAGTTTTCAAAAGGCGAAGCAGTTCCCTATTGTTAATTGTTGGATATGGAGTGCCACCTAAATACAAGCGAATAAGAATTAATCTTTGTCCTGAAATAACTTTAAAACATACAATGAAAGAATAAAATTGGGGGAAAACTAATAAAACTTCCTGATCGAAATTCCAGAAATTCCAATCCAATCTGTTGCAGTGGAAACCAGTTCATGCAGGCTGTAAATTGTGCAAATCATTATGGAAACTTGTTTAATCTGAGAATGTTTGAAAACCTTTCAACGGCAGTATCTTTTTCGTTCCCTCGTGACCGTAAAAGCTCCCTTATATAACCATTGGAGCGCAAAAATGAAAAAAAATAAACGGTTCTAAACCGATGGAACTTTAGTAGTTTTCAGGAAACACAACTCACAAGTAAAAGTTATGCGTGAAAACTTACCAAGTGTGACCAACTCCCATAAGAGAACACCAAAGGCCCATCTAACAATAAACAACAAGTACCATTATTATCATTCCAAATACTCAATGAAGTGTTACATGCCGGCGACGAGGGGCGCCTCTTTGCTGATACGTGAGCGAACAGTGATAAGACAAATGATGAATCTTAAATTTTACAACGTACCTCATAAAGCAATTAATACAAGCATTTCAGTTATACCGTACTCGCTTGCTATCAGTCAATAGAGTGAATGACAGTCTTTGGTTAGTCACCACATGTAAAGTAATCCAAGATAGTTTAGATAGTTTTGTGGGGATTCTGGATTCAACAATGTAGATCTCGGATTCTAGGTACTGGTACTGGATTCTCATGGAACTTGGATTTCGGATTCCAATCGTTGGCTGGATTTTCCGGATTCCTTAAGCTGTAGATTCCGGATTATACAAGCGAAAATATGTCCGATTCCTGATTTCAGAAAGAAACATTTACAGGACTCCGGTACCCAGATTACCTTACCTGGGGCGAGTTTAGGTAGGAAAAGTCAGTGGTCAGTCATTTACAAATTAAGCTATCGATCTTTTTAGCTTACATCAGCATTTATACAGTTGTATTGATAGGAGTTTAAACATTAGTTTATCCTTTGACGCATAACTATAAACAAAATACTTACACATCGCTCTGTGAGGTGAATGTTTGATCAAAAATGGCTTCAATAGACATCCATTTCAAGGGGAGTTTCCTGCTTCTTTTAGCATGATAAACCTTCTCTTCATACACGTGTCGAGTCAAACCAAAATCTGCTACTTTTGCAATTTTATTCTCTCCAACAAGAACGTTGCGGGCTGCTAAGTCGCGATGTACAAAGCCTTTTCTCGCCAAATATTCCTGTTGAAATTTGTTACATTATGTTTCAGTGTTAACATCCCACAATACTTTCAGTTTCACTTTAAACTTACCAAAGATTGCCAGGGTTTTATCTCTCCTTTGAATCCTACTTATATTTGAGAGATCCATTTTTGTTTTCTTGAGGTTACTCTCATCCACGTGATTTCTTGTCGCGTTATACTTTCTTTTTCTTTCACTGGGAGACAGATTTCGTATTAAAACGAGTTGTCGATCTTCGTTTACATGATACTTTAATGTGAGAGATTTCGTACCGGGATGACCTTTTTGTCGCTACGTCAGAGCAACCAGGATGAACTCGTCCGGTGTGACCCGTTTCGCTATGATATTTTCTTGTTCAATTATGTAATCGAATACTTAATCCACATGCGTTTTCTATAACAGAATAAAGCGATATCTGCATGGCAAGGCCCCCGCTAGACAATTTTTAGTGTGGGTTAAGAAACAAAATAGGTAATGTATTCTGATCCAGTCGTTTGAATTAATATTGGAACATTTTACGCATATCTTAACTGAGACTCTAGGAGACTGAGGCTGTTATAGACTTACGCTGATACATTCTTATTTCATCTAGTAAAAGTGATATACCAAAAGCGTGATAGAAATGACAATACGTGCTTCGGCAGTCACTGGTTTCGCTTTTCGGAGAACCCGCATCACTAAACTTCGGCACCAATTTTTGTCAGAATCAAAACAAAGTAAGCGAGAGGAGAGTTACGAAAGTTTGAAATTTGCCCCATGTATGTGTTCACATGGCCAAACATGCAGTATTCTTACCATGCCTTCGCTGATTTGCCAGGCAAATGCAAGTAAATCTCCTGGTGTCAGAGCATCTTCTTCTTCGTCGTCGTCGTCTGAGTGAATTTCATCTTTCGCCATCCCTTTGTTTTCAGCTCCGGATTCCTCACCCGCTTTTGAAGACTGAGAAAATGAGAGAATCTGCACGTTTCCGCCGTCACTCTTTGGAGCGTCAGGGGTATTAACGTAAATACGATCGCTCCTAGTTGCCTAAAAATTAAATAGAAAAAAAAATCACCTAGAACCAACACTAGAGTTCTTAAATTGTAAAATTGTGAATATGACATTAGTCACTCTCCTCAGGACTTTCAGGTATAATTTACTGCTTTGGTTGGAGAACTTTTGCCAGACTGCTGATAGTGCAGTGCGTAAGTTTTGAAGTATTCATAAGTTATGGAATGCCCGCCACTAATGTGAGTGTGAATTTGAGATAGATTCCCACAATGGGTCGTGCCCCCGCCATGGATTCATTAACGTCCCAAAGAATTTATTATATGTGCAAGTGTTGTGCGTCTTATCGTCCTTGTCCAAGAGGTACTAGAAAGTCTAACCATAGTTGTCGTTACAAAGGCAACACTTTCTCCTTAATTATTCTAAGACCCCATATGTTGCGGGCCCGCCGGGGCTTGGGCAGTGGCAGACCGGCGCTTCATCCTAGCAACCGAGCTAACCAGACACAGGTAATCCGCTGAAACACTAATTATATAAAAAGAATAGAAAGCCAACCAGAGAAGAAACATACATAACGTCTAGCATAAAATATTATATTTCAGTTAACCAGGAAAAAAAAAATGACCGCACTGGTGGTAGGCTTTGAAATTATTTTACCGACTCATGCAACAAATAATTCCAACGACTATGTACATGTACCTGTACTGATATTTCTCCCCGCTTTGCATTAAGTACATATGTTTCACAATATGTAGAGCGGTATGGACTTTTTGACTCGTCTCCGGGGTACACTTTTACCTGAAAAAGAGGCAAAAAAATCGTCCCAGTTCCCATGTAAAAGGGAAGATACAGTCATATTTTCTTGGTATCCATTAGCGCCGGGTACATACAGAATAACATATCCACTGACTAGATTTTTTTAAAAAAAAATCTATATGGTTTTTGAATGTACCTGTAATATGGTTTTGAACATTAATGCGATGACACGGTTGACATGTGAAGGAGTGCTACGCGTGGTACAGCAAAAAAGAAACTCGGTTTTAAAATGTTCGGTCAAATGGGTCATCACGAAGGGAACGGCGGATAACTTTCGCTAATGATTCTATAAAATACTACTATACGGCCAGAGAAGAAGCAGATTAAGGAAGCCTACGACAGAGGAGTGCATGGTAAATATTAACGTCTTTGACAAGACATTAATAAGGATAAATCTCTCAAACGAAGTGCACTCCAGGCAATTCTTTTATAGGTCCAAACTAAACAGTTTGGCTTTAACAATTTATTTCCAATGGAAGCCGCTTTGAGTAGATTCCTTTATATCTTGTACCTTTCCTCGGCGCTTTCTGAGGTAATGCAGAAGATCACCGTAAGGGACAAATTCAACCAACAAGAACATGGGTTCCTCCAAAGTGCAACAACCGACCATGTTAACAATATTCTTGTGCGAACCCAATGCTTTCATCAATTGAATTTCTTCCAGAAACTCCCTTCTTTGGTCACTATCTGCCATACCTGTAGATAAGAACAACCGGAGACAGTTACAAAAATTATTTTCTAACCTTTCTTACAGTACATTAAAATCTCCAAAATAATTGTCACCTGAGTTGAATCTCCAGTCTGTTCGCAGCCTGCTTAACCACATAAAATTATAGGGATTGGTTTCAATGAAAATTGTTGTACTCAAATATTAACGTTAACGCATCGTTGTCAGAATGAAAAATTAAAAACTAGAGATTACAGGAAAAAACTTAGCCTGCGTCACAGACGTAATTTAGGTCCGGTTCAGACACCGCTCCCCTTATGTGCTGAACCTAACTGATGAATTAAGTACGGCAAGAGAACGACGTCTGAATCAATTTGGTACGGCAGTTTTAGTTAGGTGCGGCAAAAGCGTTTGGTGCGGCAAAAGTTCGACAGAGTCTGTCGAAATTTTGTCAAACTTGACTTACTAATAGGCTCGACACACGGTGCGTCGTCTGAATCTGATGTCGCCCCAGTGTCGCTCCAAAGTCGAACTTATTCAGCACATGAAAATTACGGCGTCTGAGCCAGACCTTAGTAACGTCCGCGAAGCAGAGCCGAGATCCTTGTTCTGTGCCTCCAACCGACTCAAATCCTGGCTCAGATCAAAGATTTTGGCCTTGTTTCGCAGCCGGACTTAACCAGGGTTTCGTTTCGTCTGTGGCGCAGGCTATGGAAAAAATACGGAATAATGACCCAAAATTTACCGTGAAGCATTTTCACTGCCACAGTAAATGGCATGGCTTGCGTGATTGCAGATTTCCGAAGAGGACTCACTGGGGGCATCACTGAAAGCCTACGTGATATTGTAGTTGCTTGCTTTATGGTTCCTTTATACACTTTACCAAAAGCACCCTCTCCTTGCTCCTCCTCAAGGGACACCAAGTCACTATCCACTTCCCAATGATCAATTATTAACGCATTGGTTCTGGCAAAAGAAAAAATAATCAGAATATTAATTCAATGTGCTGGGTATTTGAGTTTTCTTTTCCTCCTGGTGTGACAGTGAAAGTCATCGATTTGTCGTTTGACGCTCAGACATTAGGAATAAAGCACATCAATGCAATATCAGTAAGGTGCTGCCATATGTTTTTTTTGGATTGACAAAAAGTTTACGGTGGCTAGCGTACAAAGAACCACGCTGATAACTTGCTGGAGTAGCTTAGTAAAACTGCCTTCCTGTTAAATGATTTATCGCAACTATCATGTGGCAAGTCATGTTTTTGCCAATTCCTTTTTTTGTGGATTTCCGTTCTCTAATGCAGATTGGTGAAGCATGTTGGAGACAAGGTCGGCCATCTTCTTTAGTTCGCCAACCAATGACGCCACAAAGGCAGTAGTATGATCTCAATTTTCAAGTTTTAAACTTTCTAGAAGGTCATCCTTTAGATCTACAATGATAGCGCAAACTATTATTTCAGTAATTAGATTACAACTACTTAATGAGTTTGTGCGGTAACATGAATTTAACAAACAGTTGTCTTCATTTGCAAGCAATCATGTAATCGATCAAATGTAATCAAAGTATTTTAATATTTCTTTACAGTACATCCCAGTGCAAGACATCAAAATCCTGCCCTAAACATTCCGTTGGGTTTATTCTTAAGAAACCTTACCCTGATACAAGACCCCTCTTTTCCATTCGTATCTTTCTTTGTTTGTTACACCAAATCACTAAACATACAGCAATCAGGGCACCAAGTATAACGCCTCCGATAAGCCCGCCAACCTGAGCTGGAGTAAACTTGAAAGAACCTTTATCTGAAAAAGAGCATTGCGTGTCATTATAAAAGGAATAAACTTAGGTCAAGCGAGAAGGGAACTGGAGCCGAAATGCGTCCCTCAATTGTTTCTGGTATCGTTACTGGCAACACGCGGGTGAGGTATTGGCCAATTTCCGGCACCTCCATATACCTTGTAACAGTCCCAGAAGTCTTTGCGAAAGTGAACTAGGCCCAGTTTTAGCTAGTTTTCTTCTCGAACCACAGCTGCAGCGAAAGTTAGGTGTTAAATTGACTAATAGGAAAAAATACCGTTTTGGACATCTGGATCTTTCCATGAAATGTCAATCTGATCATTTATACCGTTGACCGCTCGAACCTGGAAGACAGGCGTAACCTAAAAGTATATTGAAATGATACAATGAGAACACTTGCTTGGTCCAAAAGTGTGAAATGAAATAACATATACATGTCAAGCATCAGTATATTGCTTGCAAAAATATTTCAATCAGTGTACTTTTTGGTAAGGCGAGTGTGTTCCCAGCTTTGACATTGGCAGATTTTTCTCGGATGAAAGACACTCGTTCTAGACTTTATTTGTGCAGTAACGACATGTTTTCTTCATTAGACGGCAAACAATTTTGAAAATGCGGACTAATGGATGTGGTGAGTTCAGTTTGGTGTTAGAAAGGTATACCATAATTTGTAATAATCTTGCTGCCTGACCAAAGCGATTACCTGAAATTCCACAGGAATGTCCTTGTTGATCCCACTGATTGTAGCATTTGTATTAGACTATAAAAACATAAAAACAGTCACACGCACAAATGGATCGGACCAACAACCGTAATAATGCATTCATATTTCAGCACATAAAAAATCCGAAGACAAATTTGACATGATTACTTAACTATAAACAAGGCAAGGATGAGGTAAATGCGCGCACTGGGCCTCAAGGATTGTAACCTGCCACGCAGTGTTTTTAGGGGAGCTCGTATTTCGTCTCCTAAGAGCTGCCCTAAAAACGCCTGCGTGGGAACCTACAAGAAACTTAGCGTAACTTTGTTCTTGTTTTTCTGATCACACTTCGGAGTTATATTCTCAAAATAACTTAACATTCTCTAAACCACAGTTATTCTCAACCCCTGGGAAACCCTCCTTAATGGCAGTCATACCTGCACCGTTCTAAACCTCTTATTTCACTAGTCCCCTTAAATCTGCACTTCCATTGTTTTCAGGGATAGGGGCATTGTTAGGTGACAATCAGTATTGTTTCCCAGCTAATCAAAAACAATCTTTCAAACAGGTGCGGGATCGTCCCTTAATGGCCTATACAGGAAGGCTCCGCCCGAAAGGGGTACCTTTTTTCAGGCTGCAGGTATATGAAAGGGTAGCCGGATTTCACTAGTTGAAGTATATAGAAGAGTAAGGAAATCTGTCATTTGGGTCGGTGAAAGGGCACAAAAGGGCTAACAGATTAATTTAATGGCTTTATAAAGTCAGAAAACGTTCTATTTTTGTGATTGATACCTATTTAAAAGACAGTGCATTTATAGCTGTCAAAAGAGATGCAAAGTTCTAAACAAGGTATGTGAAAGGGGTAACCTTATAAATGGTACATAAATCTTGGTAAGTTGTTGGACCGCAGGGCGGAGCCTAGCTATATAAAACTTTGTTGAGTACCTATCTCTCCCGGGTTTTCAACTGACCAACTTAAGAACTTCTGCAGTGATTCAAAAGAAACACTCATCACTCTCATCAACTTACAGTATCAACACCAGCGTAAAGATTGATGTCTCTCTTTCGCCTTTTTTGGTCAGATATAGGCAACACTTTGTATGTATAGTATTTAACTCCACTGTGTTTGAACAATGGTTTCTCCCACCAAACTGTTGTGCTAAACGTATTGTTAGGACCAGCAACCTGGACGCCATGCTTCAACCCAATCACTTTTACAAGCTCCTCGTTGGGTCCTAGAGTACATCGGAAAGGAAACAAGAATTTCCTCATAACATGAAAACGTGATGCGGCAATTAAGATAAATTATACAATGCAGACCCGAGCGTGCAACCTGTTTTGCAGCATTGCTGAAAAATGAGTTGAAAAGCGATGTTGCGCGTTTTACCACTCATGTTCAAACCTGTCTTGCATCAAATCTGCTTGTTGCAGGGTTCGAAAAGTTGTTGCAGAAAGGAGAGAGTACTTCTACTTTTTGCAAGAAAATTTGTCCATGTTGCGCGTTTTAGCGGCCAAAGGCATAGTTAGTAGAGGAGACTGGTTTAAGGAAAGCCAGCGAACATCAAATTTGACCTGACCGTGCACAATCCTTTGTTGTTCGTTCACAAATTGTGACTGAATAAATTAATGCAATGCTTCTATTAGTTAGTAAGTTCAAAATGATAGGAATGCTATTGAATGTTGTACACGGTCAGGTCCGAGAAGCTAACAAAGACATATAACAAAGGAGTCTAACGGGTTTCATAACCATTCCACTTTAATAACTATGGCACAGGCAAACTTTTTTTCGCAGCAAATGACATAACTCTCGCGTATGGCGTGGCTCCCGCGTAATTTTATCCAAACAAAAGTCAGTATTCATTAAATCTGCAGCAACCTTTATTTGTTGGAAGACAGATTTGAACGCGGGTGGTAAAACGCCAACGTCTCTGCAGTAACGTTGCAAAACAAGTTGCACGTTTTTTTTTTTGCCCGTTATTACCGTTGGCTCATAGGTCTCGTAAAATCAGGCTAGATTTACATTCATGTATATTAATTACAGTCCATCAAAAGGTTTAGTGGTAATAAAGGAAAAATTCATTTCTCCAAATGGGCTAAAACAATGCGAACATACAAAAAGTGAAATTCTAAAAAGCACTAGTCTAGCCTCCTGATTGGTGAGGAGTAAGAGGTCCCTTAAATGAAAGCCACAAACGTAATAGGATAAAGATGTGATGAAATCGTAAAGATTCACACTTGACACGTACTTGGGGCAGTCTCTGTGATTTCGTTTTCTTGTCCGATGATGTAATCGTTGTCGAAAAGAGGTTTAACCTGTTGGTTTAGGAAAATTAATGATTATGGTACTCAACTAGAAATGAATAAAATTGACTTCCAAATCAAGTTTTTGTAGGTAGCAACAACAGCTATGATGATAACAGAAGAAGACAAAATTTTCACTGGTTAATTGTATGTCTAAAACAAGTCTTGAGCAGTCTACGATGCCCACGTAAAGTAGAATAAGTTTAAATTACGTGTTCAGGCCATAATATTCAGAATCTTTTACCTTTAAACTTATTTGTTCTTCAGGAAACACGCCTTCTATCTTTAGAGACGTCTGGTTCTGTAAAGACGGTAGAACAAGAAAGTCAACTTTTGTTAACTGAAAATAATTTAATAAATGTGTCCTCAATTAGTTAACATTCAAACATTTAATGTTTGTTTGTGCTACCCAGACTTGCATCTCTCACCTTCGTCCAAACCTTTATCATTCTAGTGTAAATACACTAGTCCCCTTTTCTCACTATTTTGTCTGATAAAATTCCCACTACTTTGCATGTCAAAACGAGTACAGCAAAAAAAGTTCTTTACTCTAAGGTAAGGTAGTCTATAAATCATGTACATTTTATTACAGATTGCAGATTGTATAGTCTTGTTAGGTTTTATTCAGCCTTAAAAAAATTTCCAACGCCAATTGAATTTGAAGCTGGAATTAAAGGAAGAGCTGCCCAGGATATAATGACTTTACGTACCATTCTAGTCTTTAAGCATCCTGACGCAGTTCTCACCAAAGATGAACAATTAAGCTGGTCACGTGCGAAGCCACCCTGGAATTCGTAAGACACTTCATAGGAATGAACGTTACTATGTTCAAAGGATGGTTTTCGCCAGGTGAATGTCACATTGAACGTGTTTGTGCCTTCATCTTCCACAAACGACCCGCGACCAAGCTTTTCTACTTTTAACTTCTCCATGCTCGGTTCTGGGAAGAATGGTTAATAAGAGAAAAATTATTTTCGTTCTTAAAAGATGGCGTTATTACAATCGGCGTTTAAGCTGAACACAAAATTTAAGGTAGATGTAGCCTTGTTCTCCTTTATAAAGCCTCTTGAATTGACTTAAATGTATAGTCAGCATTTAAACTATATAAAACTTAAATCATTTTGCTATTAAAAAGATAGTATTAGCAAATAATTTTTTTCTACTCCATTTCCGTAGGGTACCATTGGTGGGACCATGCTTTGATTATAATAAGTCAACATTGATTTTTCAACGCCCATCAAAATAGAAACGGAAAAAGGAGAAAAGAGCAAATAAGCTAAGGAGTACTCACTTGGAGGTTCGATGAATATTTTTTCGGGCTTCCCTGTTATAACACGGGCAATAAATTTAGAGATCACCTTTGGATAAAGAAAAAAATTGAACGTTTTATTATTACTCAGATCTTAGTTTATATGAATTTAAATAAAATTTTACTCACGACGCTCCTTCCCCTACCCTCAGTGAACAAATAATAAATGAACTGATGTACGGTTGTGTTGGTATTATTACCATTACTACCACCACCACCACCACCACCACCACCACCATCATCTTCATCATCATCATCATTACAGAACTGTTACTATCAATCATAGTCATGTTCTTTATTAAAATGTAATAATGTGATGCAACTAAACTTTGAGAGACGTAAACCTCTGATGCAATTATTTTGTAGTACATATTAATGTATTTTTAATTATCATTCATTCAAAATGTTTCTCCATTAATTTACTGACTGGCGTTAATCTTGGGCTAATTCTTAATTATCCTGGTGCTGATCAAATTTGGAAGATGCGAGCAAAAAGCATCGCATCTTATATTGCTCCAGTATACATTCACAAACTCGTCAGCAGGAAACGGCTCGGCAGCCCAGCTGTTTTGGTATGCCTGAGCCAAAAAATGGCGAATGAGCGATTGGAGGGCTATCCGACTGGTGACGAAATAAGCTGAATTTCTGATTAAAACTGAACGAATAAAATGCAAGAACGCGTGCCAAAAAAAGGAATAAAAGCTAAGTATTCACTCCGTTTGGAGGAGTTTCATGAAAAAAAAAAACATCAGTTTGTATTCTGAAACTGCTCCAAGAAATGTTTTAGAGAAAGTTTACGAGGAAGTAAGGTGGTTAAGAACTTGAAATATTTTCGTAAGGTTTGAAAAATTACGTACTTCTCAGAGGGTGTCGGTGCATAACACCCATACACGCGCACATAACATTTAAGACAGCCTTATTCAAGAATTTACTCTCGAAAAAAAAGGCACAGTGACAGCACTTGGAGCACTAGTTAGTATATTTGTACTTTGAGCCCCTATGGAGCAAGGCGGTATGTATTACCTCAACTTCCACTCTGTCTCCAGGTATTAAATCAGAAATTGTGACATTATTATCCTCCTGGTGAAACAAAGAGAATTATACGGTGTAGTTCACCATAAGGGGAAAGCATTTCAAATTGAAAATACACAATTCTTGTTGGTCTTTATTTGATTCGAGTTTAAGGGGTTGGAGCTCCGCAAATATATAGCAACGTGCTGGCTTGCCAAGGATATGACTTACTAAGAATAAATATCAACTGTTTGGGTAATGGTCGCAAGCTGTAGTTTCTTTTTTTGTTGTTTTGTTTTTTCCTTTGTTTTTTTTTTTGTTTGTTTTGTTAAAGTTCGGTTCTTCAGTTTTGCGTAATCAGCGGCATTTTGGTAAGGCAGAGGATCGCAAGGTCGTGGGATGTGTTATGTGTTCGCCATGTTCGTTCGAATCTAAGTTGCATTTGTTTTTTTTCCCTTTATGGCGGCTTTTCATCGAGCCAGCCGGACGTTTCTACACGTGTTTGTAAGTTTCTTTTCTTAGCGTTTTCTGTATTTCGTCGTTTCCTAGTGTTAGTGTATGGTTCTTCATTTTATTTTCGTCTTCTGTATTTTATCAAGAAACCATGTTTGTAGTCCATGTTCATGAGTTTGACACGCCACACCTACATGTAACTCACTGAATTAAAGGTTGTGGCTTTGGCGGCTACACAAGCGTTTAGGTTTAAACGTTCATGCCGAAAGAAAACAGCAACAAAACGGTTTTAAACAAAATTAATCGGAAACAATTGAAATGTATGCACTTTATCTGGTGAATGTTGAAGTTTTTACAATTAATAAAAGTACTAGTCGGTCGAGGACAATGCTTTTGGCGTCTGGAGACGGGACCGCCACTTCACGTGGTCAACCTGAGTATAAGTCAGGCCACGAAATCGGAATCGAACCCACTGCTTCCCGCTCAACAGTAAAGCGCTCTATCTACTGTGCTTATCCTGCTGCTACTGAAAGATAGAGAGAATGGCGAGAAAGATAAAAAGAGTGCTGAGACGATAAAATCTATATGCACTACCGTTGTTATCTGCCATCTTTTTGCCCTGTCTGGGTTACCAGAGAGACTGCAGGTTATAACGTATTCTTCCACTTTGCTTTCCTTGAAGAAAGGCATCTCCCATGAGACAAAATAATTGTACTGGTCTGGTTTGCTCGTGATGAGAATCATTTCGGACAAGTTTCGAACTCTTATAGTTGCTGCATCAGGCTCTGTGACAGAAAACGAAAATGAGAGATATATAAATAAACTCTTCATAAAAATATCGATTCGATATTATTTGAACACATACTTTTAACATTGGATGAAAAATGTTTCTCCTTTTCATTGACCGAGAGGCAAATCCCCTGAGGCAAATAATTGATCTGCTCGCGACTGACAATTACGATATTTTACTCAGCCTCGTACAATATTTGTTAATTACTTCTCTATTTATTCATGGTTTTATATGTATTCATCCAATTTGTCTTCCTTTTAACAGACAACTGGGACGAGCATTCAACTATTTGAAGGTGCTTTAATAGCCCACGTTCGATGTATTAAAATTCCAATATGGCTTTCTGGTCATTTTTCTAAAACGGTTTTGGTTTCTTCGTGCTCAAGTCTCTTCTGGGAACTGCGAGACAATGGGTTCGTGAAATTTGTGCAATTTTGACCCGAAGCCTGGGAGTTATGTTAGAACGTTAATATATCGAACGTGGGCTATTCGGGATTTGTAGTTCTATGGTCTCTTGAAAGTTCGAAAATATCTTTGCGTTTGTTAAATAACCCGTTAAATTCCTTTATATCATGAGCCATTTTATCAGCTGCTCGTAACGTTACACATATACGTTTGGCTTTGCTAAGTAATCAACTGTGGATAATTGGGCAATCTAGGTGGTAATGGTAATATTCTAACCTGGTGCAGTAACCATAACTTGACTTTCAATTCTCTGGATATTTCCGTTTTCGAAGACAGGCGTCACCTACAATACAACACCAACTTGTTCTGATTCAAAATTTTGCTTTGAGAAGTAAATGTAATTGTCGTAAATTATCATCAATAATAAAAAATTTAAGTACCTACTTTTAGCGTTACAATTTCCTTTGGCCTCACTCCGATCATCTCAAATTCTGGTTTCGTCTGGCAACGTTTAAAAATCAGATTCAGTATGAGAAAAGCAACTGGCTTCAAAGACTCCTGACGTTTTTAATTTCTTCGAGGACTACATATTTCACGTTATCTAGTTCTGTTTGTCAAAAATTATTTTTAACACATTCTCAAACATGTGTTTTAAGGAGCTGGCTATTTATCTTTGCCAAGGCATATATATTTGGTAAATCATTGCGTCGTTTTTGTCAGCAGAGAACAATCACCAATGCCAATTATGTGGCATGACTTCCGAATAAATATCAAGGGATGTAACGATTCAAAATGTTGGTAAACCGTGTTGGCATTAATTCGTAGTAAAGTTATCATCACTGGTATGAATTCAAGGCCGCTCTGACAAGAAAGGATGTCGCTTTTTGTGATGGAAAAACTGATCAGAATGAGGCTTGTATGAGAAATATGACAGTTTTCGCCGATTTTAAACGTGCAAAGAAAGGCATTTCAGCGGTTTTTTTTATTGTTGTTGTTACCTTTACAACATGGCTTCAACGTTTTGCTTTAAATTTGAATCGCATATCATCAACACCGCTATCTATCCTGCTGAAGTGCGTTTGGATTGAACAGTCATTCATTTAATGTAACGAGTTTGATCATTTCAAATGCATGACTATTACCCCAAAAAAGAATCAAAATCGTTTATTACATACCACGTTCCCGTGAACAATCTCATTGGCGCTGTAGCCCGTCAACTCGTACGTAAATTCATAGGCATGAAGACTAAAGTTAAATAATGGTCCTGTCCACGTGAAGTTGACTGAGAACGTGCTCTTCCCTTCCTCACGTAAAAACGTCCCTACAAGGATATGCCTAACTTTGACTTCTTCATCAGTTGGAACTAAAAGTACAAAAATTTATATTTACCTTTAGTTAATATGCACAAGCGCTTCTATTCCTCAGCTTTAAATTTAATCAAATCGAGTTATGTAAATATCAACTAGTTATATATTATTTAACAATTAATGAATGAGGCTGAGTATCTTATGAAGAATTGTATGGAGATCGAGCAGCGTTTGGCCGAGGCGGATAACACCCTCCGACATCCCCATAATTCTTCATATGATACGAAAGCCGAATTCAATAATTATTTTATTATTCATTCAAAATAATTTCTAGTTTAAAAACATAGGTAAAACAAGCTTACCTGCATCGATGTTAAGTTTATCTTCGATAGTTTACGTCTAGGTTTGTTCAGCTCCGCAAATATTCTCCAAATAGCAGCTGTTGCCCTCCGAGTTGTCTTCTTGCTGTTTTTGCTATGTTTTTAGCCATTATTTTGCCTTGTTCCAGCTATAGTTCTTACTCTTGAACGAGTGAAGTGTCCGCCATTTTAGTTTTTACAACGAAAACAACTCAATCTCGTCCCCAGGTCTTCTCAGTTAACGGTGCATTAACCTGTAGAAGGCTGTATTTTTTACTTCATTTCCTCGTTAAACACAAAATTCTTCCAAATTTGGTCATCAATTGGGGAAAGATAAAGATTTTGAATGAATAATAATGAATCTTAACCACGTTATATACCATTTAAATTTTGTGTATCCCTGAAAAACTATATAAAAGAGGATAGTTAAAGCATTGTTATTATTATAAATATTATTATACTTATTACTATTATTATTTGTCTAATTCCGCAAAAAAACGACCATTAGTAATTACAAATCCCGAAGGCAAGTTGTAGCCTACAGCCTCAGGCTTCGAGCACTTTCCTTAGCAATCGTCCCGTTCCAAGGTGTTGTTTAAGATTTTTCGGAATCATGCCAAGAACATCTACTATCACAGGCACAGCATGAGCCTTGGTGTTCCACAATCTTGTCATTTCTCTCTTGAGATCTTGGTCATGACTTTTTTTCAATCTTTTCCTTCTCTTTTTCAGCTATACGGGCATCTCCAGGCACAGCAATATCAACAATAAAGCACTGGTTTTCTTCCTTACTTAGGAAAACGATATCTGACCTTCTACTTTGTATTTTGATCATAATCTGTCTGTATTGAGAAATCCCACAGGAGCTTTGCCTAATGTCACTTTTTTCCACTACTCTTTCTGGTTCATGTTCATTACCATTTATCTGCAGCAGGAAGGCCATGATTTTTTAGAAATGTCCCAGTGAACTATCCTGGCAACATTATCGTGTCGATATTTATACTCATTATTATTATTATTATTATTATTATTATTAAGAAAGATGACATACGAGGTGCTTTTTTTTCTCCGAGTGCTTCTGTTCCTGTAATCCACTCATGGTGCTTGTATATTGGAGTGATCTGAAAAAAAATTGAGCAGTGTTTTCGACTTCAAGCAAAGGCCAATCAATCTATTTATAACTGCTTGTTTTTGTTTTAATAAAATAAATTTAAAAATATGTATATGTATATAATTTACAGAAATATTTGAAGTAAGAATTAAGTACAATCACTGTGTCAATAACGATTTCCCAAATACATTCCTTGCGGCTCAGATGCGATGAATAACTCTTGCAGCCCGGCCTTGCAGGCGGTCCAGAGTTTTAAATTAAGTAATTAAGAAAGAGAATCATCCGTCTCTGACATTAAAGGGAAACAAGTTAAAAAGAATAAAATCTCGTATTCCTAAATTCCTAATTCCTTAAAAAGTTCTTTAAATATATTAAAAAAAAAAAAATAAAATAATAATAATAATAATAATAATAAGTAATTAATTCGGGCAGGCTCTAATTTTTTCGATCTGAAGATCTGAGTCAAGAAAGTCTAGCTGTCGTCTTCTGGATCTTGAGCCTCTCAAGCATAGTATCGCAGAGCGTACGATGGCGAAAGATACTTTAGCTCTTATCCAGGAAATTGCGCTTGAGTAACTTTCTCCCTCGTTATTTGCGATCAGGTCTGCAAGTCTGCTGTGGTACTGAACACACTCATCCGCCATTCCACCTGTTTTTGTTCATTTTTCCATCCCTTAGTGTACTATAATTAAAGATTGAAAACCTCTCTAATACAGTGGCTGTTTACAAAACGTTTCAGGAAAGTCCGGTTGGGAAGTAAATGGTACTCGACTTTCTTGGTCGTTCCAAAGTTAAGGAAAATTTCCGGGAGCAAAGGAGCATCTGAAAAGGTTAAGTCCTGTATGTCCGGACGGAATATTCCAATCCGCAATTGGTGTTCCCTTTCTTCAAAGCCACCTTCGAGACCAGTATCAAGCTTTCGTAGTCGTTTTTCGGTAAATGGAACTGATTTGTGCAGAATTTAAATGCGATTCAAGGTATTAAATTTACCAGTTCTGAATTTTGTTTACAATTTACCAAACCGAAAACTGGCCAGTTTGCCCGCCAAGTAAATGACTCATAGACTGAATAACTTTGAAAGTGATCAATGTCATGATACATGGCTAATTTCACCGGGTACATAAGGAGCTTACCGAATACGTAACTTGCTCGCCGTGCATCACCCCAGTGATTAAGAAGTGAGTTTGACTCTGCGAAAAAATACAAAAATACAATCCTCATCACACCCTTGCCGGCCTACTCTGTTAAAGTTGAAACATGCCTCCTTTGCTTACCGCTAGATCTTTCTGGTGCTTGTGCTTAGGGTATTAGGGTTATGGTAACGTTAGGTAATGTCGTAACCAAGCTAATTAGTACAGTCAAACCTGTATTAAACTTACCCCTACTAATTTAATTAGCGGTCACTTGAAAGTCCCGTAAACCATTTCCCTTAATCACCGTAAAACTGACCTTTATTAAGCGGTGGCAGTTACTTTTTTAGAGGTCCCAAAGAGTTATTTATAGTTTTTGACAAGATCTACCTTACTAGTAGAGCAGATTACACTTTGCATGGCGTTTTAGTGGTCTTTTAATTCTTTTCTTTTGGCGGCACAGGAAAGAGAGAGAAACTATGAAGTCAATTCGTTGTGTAAGTAGATATTTCGCTCTTTTAATATCCTTATTTTCTTGAATAATAACTCAGGGTTGACTGCTTCAGTTCTAAAGGTTTGACAAAAATACTTACGGTTGTGTTCCCTAATCGTTGTTGGCTTCCTACTTGGTAATATAACTGGTAGGCAGTAAGGGAGCTATAATTGAACGTTGGTTTATTCCAGGAAATGTTAGCAACGAAGCTACCTCCTTCTGGCGAAGGGTAGAAGTTACAAGCTTTTAATTGGACCTTCACTTCGTTTCGAGGCACAGCTGCGTAGAGGGAATAATGGAAATTACACTAGTGTAGTAGTAGTAGTAGTCGTCGTCGTCGTCGTAGTAGTAGTAGTAGTAGTAGTAGTAGTAAGTAATAGTAATAAATTGCTTTATTTGCATGCCCACAGTATTGCAAAAGCATGCCTAGTTCATGCCTGAACTACATAAAAAAAAATAGGTACTTTAGTAACAATGAATCACATATGTTCATACAGAAGGAAATCAACTTCGTAACTAACTTGTTTACATGATATTCCTTCGAATTCATTAACAGTTTTATGCTTTCTGGAGATGATTCTTGTTAAAGTCAAGTATTATTCGATTGATTTGATTAATGAATGCCTGTCTCTGTACTGAGTATTTATTACAGTGAAAAAAGAAATGAATCTCATCTTCTACCTGAATTGAGTTACATAAACGACATAATCTATGTTCTCTTGGCAAATGATCCACTTGGTATCGACCTTGTTCAATCAGAAGTTTGTGATTACTAAATTTTAAACTTAACAATATTTTGTCGTTCATCATAATGTCTTAGCTGGTAGAGATAATCAGATGTAGAATATTCATCTTCAAAAGTTTTATAAAATTCTAGTTTTTTTGAATTTTCAATGCTGTAGTAGTAGTAGTAGTACTAGTACTAACAATAATGATAATGGTGATAACAACGACGATTAAAGATGATGATATACTTCATTCAAAATATTTCGCCGTTTCTGATTGCCTCCAACCCTGCGTCTACTTCTTAATAATCAACTGAAGCTCACCATAATTATTTGGAAGATGTGGGTAACATACCATCGATTGAATTGTATATTTGATTGGAAACGAGGGAATAGCTCTCTTGGCAATAATGAACAAAAAAATGCAAAATAGCTGAATTTTTGACAACAACTGAACGGAAGAAATGCAAGAATATGCAAAACATATTGCTCGACGGATGTTGTCTACTCTTTGAGGAGTATCTGCAAGACATAAGATCTGTTTATATCCTGAAACCGAATCGTGCCGAGAAATAGACCGAAGTTTTGAAAAAGGTCTACGAGGAGGTAAGCATGTTAAGAACTTAGAAATATTTTGAATGAATATTCAAACAATTATTGAATTTGTATGACGTGAAAATTATGCTGATCTTGGAGGCTATTGGCTAACATAAACGATTGATCATCTGTGACACCACGGGTTAATTGACAGACGTCCAATAACATCGCGAGTTAATTTACCAATCAGGTCGATAAAAAGAGTTTAATATCATCAACTGACGTGCCGTACAGCTCAATTTGACTCTGAAGATGACTAGAACTGAACAGGTTGTCAAAACGACAGTCACTGCCAACAACAGTCCTATTCGGGATCCACCTAGTTATTGAATTATTGTTTTACTGACTACATGCACCCACTTTCAGTTTCTTAGTACTTGAAAATAAATGAGCTCACCAGGCGTAGTAAAATTGATGAATCTCCTTTTCGATGATGGAAGGTCGTCTGGAAAGCGTGGTATGACCTGTTGAACAATTTAATAATGTTTTGTTAAAAAAAAAATCAATGAAAATCCTAAGCCTTCCCATCTAAACAGTTATCAACACGCTGCACTTATAACTAAATTCTCTTACTTCAATTTTGTAAGTTGTTCCAGGTCGTAGATTCTTTATTAACAAGCTAGGATCCGCCTGCAATATAACAGTCGGCGTTAAAGGGGTATTCTGGTTATTTTTTGGTGGTAAGGGGCGGGGGAGATGAAGATTATTTGAGAAGGAAATAAATTAGGGTAACTGAAACAGGTATATGATGCAGGTAATTTTTTATTTCAGTTAATTTCTGTTTTTCCTTTGTTTCAACATATTCACATAAACATATTCACATAAACCAGTTGGTACTGGACTATCTGGGTTTATTGTTCACTTCATATTTCAATTTTTAACAACCCTAAAATCTATTTGTTTTTGCAATTTTCTGAGAGTTTAAGCATCTTCCCCCCCCCCCCCCCCCCCCCCAATTTCTATATATCAAAAATATTAGAAGAATGATCTAAAAAAAAATCTCAAAAAATCATTGAACCAAGGTCTACAACTTAATGGAGTCATTTCTTAAATGCATGAAATATTAGCTAGATGTTAGAAAAAGGGCGGAAATAAAATGAAAAACGATGCTTTTAACTAGAATGTTCCTTTAAATGATTTATCTGTCAACATAATTTGCAATCAATCAAATACATAATTTGAAACTCTGTGACTCAAATATCAAGAGAACACGTGAATCATGACCTTTTCCTTTTATTTTGTGCATCTGGCTAACCTTTTTGGTAATTCGGCAGCTCCTGCATACATAAAGTTGAACCTCTCCCCAACGGCCAACTTGGGGACAGAAGAAAGTGGCCATTGTAGAGAGTTTTAAACAAGAGTCAATGTATGGACTGTCCGCCAAAAAAGTGGCCGTTGCGGAGAAGTGGCTGACTGTATACAGGTGTTTTTTCGGGAAAGTTATGTTTCTTAGATTCTTGATGAAAAAAGTATTCGGAAATTTGAAGATGAACTTATAATAATAATGCAACAGTATACTTACTTACTACTTAAAATATGGAATGAATAGATAATAATTTTCTGCACAATTTTGCTTTACGTGAATGGACATGATTTCTCTAACTCAAATGACCACCTTTTTTGCACTTATCTTGGGGGAGTTAATTTGCGCCATGCAAGATCGTTTAATTACAGTGTGCAGAGCCAAAGTGAAGACATAGTGGTTATGAGTTGACAAAATCAAATCATCACCGATTGCAGTGATCAATTTGTCAACGCTTACCGGACGGTGGAAACTGATAAATTTGTTTCCTTTCCATATCCAAACATAGTACCCTTTAACGTTCTTGTAAGGGTATACTGGTGGATCCCAGGCGATATTCACTTGGAATCTATAGTCGTCTTGGGTTGTTAAAGAGGGTCTGATATTGTGTACTACCCTGTCTTCTATTGGTGCTTCTGGTGGATCAACTAAACATGTAACATAATGACCAGGAATTACTTGACGTATTTCATCAAAAGAAACGGATGATTAAATTATTATATAACAATAATGTTTTCACGTTACTGTTATGTTAATTATCTAATGTATCAGGTCAATAAGGGAGATTGACCAAATGGGAGATATACTAAAACAGAAACCCATAACCTAATGGGCTCCTGACTGAAAGTTGAATACTAGCCCTTTAAGGTGACTCGACCCAGTTTTTTTGGGGGGGCGGGGTACCATCCTACTTTGAAGCTTTCTGGCATCCCCACCTTTACTTTTATCGTAAGTCTAACACATAGAATGGATAATATATAGATCAATTTACAATATAACATAAAATTTTTGGCGATCGAGCATTCGGAAGTCAGCCAAGCATGGTCATTGCACGCGTGCTGAACAAGAATGCTGTATAATGACAGACTAGAAACAGTAGACAACTCCCAAAAGCACAAACTCAGCCAAAACGCTAAAAAATCTTCAATGTTTACTCAAGTTCGGGCTTATAGAATATAATGTCACAGTTTTTCAATGACCATGAAATTCAGAATCCGGGTAGTTAGTTAAAAAAAAAGGAAAAAAAACTACGAATTTTTAAGAAAATGCTTTTTTCGTGAGAAGGACTCTTAAACGCTGACATACGTCAACAAATAGCGAAAACTATAATTTCTCTATGTTTGCTTTGCTCGAAATTGCGCACATTTACAAGACCCTAAAGCATTTTGCTGACTTGCAAGGACCCATTTGTTATAACGATGCCCAAAATAAAGCGATGAGTCTCATAGTTTATTAGATATAATCGTGTAAAGTTTGCTTATCATTTTCGCATAAATTATGACCTAAACTTGAAAACCGCTGAATTTCTCGAATTGGGTCTTTGCGATTTTGGTTAAACTCTGTTCAGCGCAAGGCACTAATGCACACTATGTGTAGCCGAGAGATTTTCACGAAAAAATGCCGGCAACAGCAGATTTTCGACTCAGACCTCAAAGAGGCGTGGCATTATAACCACGTGACATTTACTCCGATCGCCAAAAATTTTATTTTATATTGCAGATTGATCTATATGTTATCCATTCTATGTGTTAGACTTACGATAAAAGTAAAGGTGGGGATACCAGAGAGCTTCAAAGTAGGATGGTACCCCCCCCAAAAAAACTGGGTCGAGTCACCTTAATTTGTCAGAGCATGACGTAGTGGTAGCGCTCAAAATATGAGCATCTTTATATATATCTTCCTACGGTGTTCAATCTATCTTATTAAACTAAATCTAATTGTAATTGTCCGACACGAGGTTCGCTTAATCCTCTTGCTTCAATAGCGCTAGCCACGCGCCAGTTTATTCACGGCATTTTTTCAGTAAACAGATACCCTCCGCCATCCAAAGGACTACTTTTAATCATATTTACATCGGAAAAGGAGCGTTACATCATTATTATTATGTCGCAGTATGAAACTTTGGAATGCTGTCCACATTATGAGTAGTATAGGGCGCAAAGCGTAACCTACACCACTTGAGAAGCTATACTTAGAAGTAAAAAAAGGTCGATACGAAACCTAATACAATCCTAAAATACATAGTGATATGAATCTCTCTACTTAAAAAGCCAATTTAGAATATTATTAAATTCTGATACTCTGTAAAACCTTCGCTATCTCTACTAAAAGCTTATACATAGGGATATAAATATCTCTACTTAAAAAGCCAATTTAGAATATTATTAAATTCTGATACTCTGTAAAACCTTCGCTATCTCTACTAAAAACATATTTATAATAATATCACACTCTAATGTTCTAAAAAATCTAAATAAAAACGTCAGCAAGCTTGTGTTTCTAGATTTCTAGAGAAAAAACAAAAACCTAAAAACTGAAGTCCATAGCGCCCTAACTAAGTATTTATCTTAAATGTTCTGGCAATGTTTAAAGTGTTTGAGATGACCGACTTCTGCATTCGCTCCAAGTAGCTTCCTCACCGACTTCTCTATGTGTTTAGAGTAACCCCCCAGTACGTCAATTATTACGTTGTACTGTTCAACCCTGTAACCATTGTATCTCTGCTTCAGCTCCCACATCATGGGCCCATACTTGAGTGTCTTTTCCTCATCTTTCTTAGCTCTACTCTCAATCCATGGGCAGCTCATTTCAATTGTGCAGACTTCTTTCCTCTCGTGGTTGACAAGTCGCGCGTCGATCCGATTTGCTCTAACTTCGTTGTGCTCTGCATAGATGGGAATATCCCAAAACGCCTCACTCGTGGTGTTCTGGTAGGCTGGTTTTGGCATCACCGGTGAGTACCATGGTGGAACCTCTTCCATTAACCCATGCTCTCGCAGGAGCTCAAAAAACAGAATCTTCAAAGCTGCATTATGCCTGTATAGGTACTTGGTTTGTGCCAGGGAGGAACATCCAGCCAGTACATGTGCAACGCTCTCAGCTACCTTCCCACATAACCTGCATAGAACTTCGCCGTCGGTGGAGGTTTGCGTCTTCTCCTTTGTGTAGAGCTTCGTAGGTAACAACTGCTCATACAGTTCATACATGCCCGCGATGGTATGTGTAGGGCATGTAGCCCAACCTTTTAACCATGCAAAGCAGCTGGCTATGCTTAGGCTCTCATCTTCCCATCTGATACGGAATAACTTTCCTTGCCACTTATTATTATTATTATTATTATTATTATTAAGAGTCAGAGCTTTTTTAAAAACGTTTTTCTTCATTAAGCTTAGTTTTTTTATAGTTGTAGTGTGAACGCATTGCCAAAAAGGATACCAGAACTTTATACCAGTATATAATTAAATGAAAAGTCAAGAGTAAATGTACGGAACTACGGACGGACTCACTGCGAGATAAATCATAGTTGCTCGACCCTCGCAATGAAGGACTACTATACTTTTGCTGCTTGAAAAAAAGTCACATTTTCTCGACTTCACAAACAAGCGTCATTTCAGGTACTTCAGCTAAAAATCGTAATCTATGTTAAATCTACATGCTTATGACTGCCTATAAAGCAATGGTAAACTATTGTAAAACTTACATTTGTAGCATTCACTTTTGGGAAAATTTGTTATATTTTGACAGCCTGTAAAAAGATGAACAAACGCATAAAACTTTAGTCTACAACGATTTATCCTTATACCCTCCTACCATTTTATCAGCTGTAGGTTTCATCGCTGGGTAAGAATAGGAGTACACTTTGACTACTAAATTTGACACAGGTATTAAGTGTATATAAAGTCATTCAAACGATTCTGTTTTAGTTTTTTAAAGGATTGTTCTTCACTTAAAATAGGACTTTTCAGACAGCTTTATTTTTCACCTCACACTTTGGAGACAGTTTATAAAAAGGTATAAAAGCTAAGAAAATTGTATGCTTTAATTTTATTTCAATGTTTTTCCTGTACATGATCATCAACGCCCTAATATGATCACCAACGCCCTAACAATTTACCTGGATAGGTGTATATTAAGGTTGCCTTATCACTCGCACTACAGCCAATCATCGAACGAACCTAAAAAAGCAAATGTACGTTAAACTCATCATGTTTAAGTATGCTTTTTCGCGTCGGCGAATTTAGCCCATTAAAGGAGTGGTGTCACAAAATTTATCAAAATTCAAACAGTGTAGTGGGAAGTGTCACAAAATTGATTGGAACTCTAAATTAACCGCTCAAGAGGTTAAAAGAAGGTATAATTAACACCGCAAATACAAAAGGAGACGCGGATGAACAATCTCGAATGAGATTTAAACAGATGCCAATTTTGTTTTCTTTTTTTAAATTAGTCAGCCTAACAGTTTCTAAAAGTTTATTTTTGTTGCTTTTAACATTTCATATTAGACATTTGTCTGACACGAAGCTGTCATTTTGATATTTACAAGTAGTTTCTGAACCTTTTACAGAAATTCAGCTCAAGGAGCACGAAGAAGAATCTCTCTAAGTTAATGCTAGATGGCTCCCATAAATAACGATGTCTAAAAAGAAAGATGTTATCACATGGAAGCCATGATATTTGTTACGTAGATATATAAAGCCGACTAGTGTTTCTGCATTGCTATGCGATCCACGCACGCTCCACGCGCGATGCGAATTTCGGCAACATTATAAACCTTTGTTACGCAAGGGGCCTTACGGCACTTGCTACGCAAGGAAGTTAACATCTATTTACTCACCTCAACAAGATGGTGATTACATCTTTTCGCTTCAGAGTACACATTTCCTGAAAATTTATTATCCAGCTGCAAACACGGAGAAATGAGTTATTTTCCTAAGATTTTTGGGTCTAAATGTGCCCCGCATCTGAGCAACTCCTTATTAAAGCAAGGGAATAGCAGACGTACTTTTCAAAGCTTCTTTCTTTTTCATTTTACGTAAGCAATAAGTATTTATTCTATGCTAGATACGGACATTCTTCGTTCTTTTTTAGTCGTAAACATGCCCGACAAGAAATCAAAGTTACACTAATAATTAATTAATTAATTTATACTGCTACATGAGAAATTTCTGCAATGTGATTGGCTTAGAGCAGTGGTATTTCAGCTTAATTTGAAATACCTACATGTGAAAATTACAAACCTTTTGTGGGTAGTAGTATAAACAAATAATAGCATGATTTGTACGTGATATTTGGCATAAATACCACTCGTGATATTTCAAAATTGTGGCAAATTTCACTCGCCTAACAGCTCGTGAAATTATGTATAACAATTTCGAAATATCACTCGTGGTATTTATGCCAAATATCACTGCAAATCATGCTATTGCCTATACTAATTTTTGTCTATCTTAGCGTGAAGAATTACTTTTTATTTAAAAAATGATAATATTCTATTATTTTGTGTGTAATTTTATTTTGGGGGTCATCCACTAGATTAGCCTTAGCTTTTTGGATGATCCCAACTCGCTCCTTATCTAGTCACTACAATTTTTAATCTTCACTTACGTAATTGTATTTATTGGTTTGAAATCTTTTTCTTCATCTATCTGAATCACATGTACATGGAGCTGAGTGAAAAAATCTTCTTGTTCGTCTTGTCTTGCCATAATTATCATTTGTTTATACAGTGTTTGACTCTGTGGTAACAATTTAGATCTTAGCGAGGTTTTTATGAAGAGTTAATTAACCTTCAACACTTCATTTTCCTCCCCGGAGTCATTTTGGAAGGTAAAGCGGGCATTGTGGAGAAAAGTAAGTCAAATGCGGGGGCAAAACCTTTTACAGTTGATTTATATCATTTGTGGAAATGGAGCAACGTCAAGGTTTGTATGATTCTTCAAACTTCACGTTTTCAACACGCTTGACCACGAAAAACAACTATAACTTAATTTTGAGTAATGCCGTTTGGCATAGTTTGTACACTTAGTGCCGTATCAATCTATTGAAAAAATATAAATCTATAATTTTCAAAATTCAAAAGGTTTCAACTTAAAAAAAATAATGAAGTGGTGGGAATTACTTACCCCAGAAGTTTCCCAATTTTCACTTAAGAAGGACCCTCTACTGTTACACTTGCTAGGATCCAGTTCCCACATCACGGCATATTTTGTAATGAGATGCTTATTATCTATAAAACATTATTTTGACGAATTGATTCTATTAATTGACGCATTTTTCGTACTTAGCTAGCTATCAGACTTGTTAAGTCCCGCTCAGTTTTAGAACGATCATAGGAAAAAAAATTTAAAAGAAATAGAATATTTTCATTTTTAAGCGCTGATTATTATTATAAAACTAGTCCTTATTTAGTACTTAATTAGTTCTTATTGATATGGGTATTAGAATGTTTTTTTGTCTTTCCATTTAATTTAACCGATGTTAAAGGACAGAAAAACAGGCTAGTAGATAAATAAATTAAACCCCGTAAATGTGAACTTTGGGTATCTAAGCTTCCTTGCGCTAGATATAATCTCTCTCTCTTTTAGCTCGATATAACGAACCCGCAGCACAAAAAAATGAGCGGGTTATTCAAGAATTAACTTGATGAGTAAAACGTCATGTTACGGGCCAGGTTTTTGTGGGAGCACAATTTCATTCGCTTGCTTAACGTTTCAAGTGATAAGCACCCCCTTTCGATGGATGTGTCTTATTTTCTTATTTCGCGTCGATATTCATTCGAATTCCACCAAAATTAAATTAAAAAACAAACTGGATTTAATCAAATAGTCAAATGGATAATTATTATTAGTTAAATCCAACTAGTGGTCTATTATCAATGCTGCGTTCTGACTGGTTGAGCTACTACTAGGCTATATGATGTAGCCTACTAGTAGCGAAAGCGCGCTCTTTTTGGCGGCAAAAAAGAATTACTAACATTTTTTTATTCTCGATATTTTTTACCAACTAGTTGGATTTTACTAAAACAATTATTCCTCTCGCCCTCATGGACTCTGATTCAATAGCCCATTCGGCCTTCGGCCTCGTGGGCTATTGACTCAGAGCCCATTCGGGCTCGAGGAATAATTGTTAAATAGATGGCGTTTATTTGACGTAAAACGCGATGATGTAGATCGTGATAAATTAGACAAATCAAATAGATGAGCATCAACCACATAAACTGCGCGACAGTCACGCAGTCGTTCGCCATAAGCGACAGAAATGCCCTTGCTCATCATCAGCGTCTCTACTGCTCAGAGCATCAGATTAGAGTGCGGGGGGTTCTGAGTTCGAATTCAATGGGGTTGGGTTCTGCCTGGTGTTTGATTCTCATCTACGTGATATTTTAGTCTTAATAACATAAAACAGTAAAAAGAAAATCCTTTTCTTGATTTTTAATTGAAGCGAAAAAAAATGGTACAAGTCTACACGTTACGATGAAGAATCTCGTGAGGGAGAAAAAGTGTTCTTATCCCAGTCAACAAGTTGTTGTTCTTAGCCTACTCCACAAGTTTTATAAAAAGGAGGCTCCGCCCCAGGGTCCAACCCCTCACCCTTTTATAATATAATGTTTGACAGAAAGGGTACCCCTTTTGTATACCTTCCATTTGAAAATAGTACCTCTTTAACATACCTAATTAACAGAATAAATCGCTACAAAGGGAAGTTTTCTTTTCATTTTCCTGTAACTTTTAATAAACCAAAATCCCACGATGGGCTCTTAGGCGCGTCTTATCCCGAACCCTGGAAAAGGCACAGTTTTCGGATAGAGCCTCCCCATATAGGCTATTATAGGGAGTACCCCCTGGTTTTTTAATGACACATATTCTATTTTTTTATTACCCACCGCTTGGGGGAATCCAGGATACAGTCAATATGATTCTATCAAGGTCATTGACAGTGGCAGGATCATACACTAGACTGTCCAAAGTCACATTTGTGACAGGTGCTGGCTTGACAAGAGCTGTAATACAATTAAGGGGTCAGTCGCTTACAAAGATACAACCTATATTGAACCAATAAAAATACCTAACTCTCGCCGCAACCAAGAATTTACAGCAATTTGACCACACGGATGGCAAAACGTTATTTTGGGGATCTGACAAGCCTGACATGTTAAACAAAGGAAAGGAAACAGAAAGAGGGACGATCGACTAAAAGAAGAGGAGAGGACAAAAATCAAAATAGTTGTCATGCTCCTAGTTTTTCATGGCTGCTATAATCTTAGTTAATAAAAAATGTTTCATGGTTCTCCAAGATGCTAGATGATTTTCAATAATGTCAGCTGATGTGTGGCCTGATCTTTCAAAAATGATCCATAACCGATGGCACTTTTCAAACGATTGGCAATTATTCTTTGGAAACATCTAGCCAGAGGTTTTTAAAACCCTTGGACGTACAAGGAGGGCAGGATGCCAAGCCGTCGCTAAGGTTTTTCTGTCTTTTTCTCGACGATTAAACATAAGCTCCTGAAGTTTCAGTAGCTGTTCGTTTATCCCTCACGAGCATTTTGAGACAAGTTAAGTTATGGTCAGTTACTATGGTTACGAGTTATGAGGTCATAAGCAGCAGGTAATTAAGCCATTTTTACGTAAAAATGCATATTTTTTCAGCTTCTTTCAACGATAAAAATAAATCTTGTGGATAAAATGAAGCGAATTATTACTTATTTATGTGTTATTCTAAATGTCAAGCACAAAAAATGACCAATTCTCGCCGTTTTTACCGGATTTCTAATTCTAATGGCGGCCAAGATAGCGACCATAATTGGTGACGTCACAAGCTTCCAGCATCGCCACCACCGATAAAATATACCTCGTCTTGTAGGGAAGATCAAAGGCTTTCCAGTAAAGATAAAATATTTTCGAAATACAGCAACATATCATTAACACTAGGAAGGGGTTCCATCAACCCCCCCCCCTTACCACGGTGGCGGGTATGACTTTCCGTGTACGTCCAAGCGTCAAAACATAGCTAGCGAACATAAAGACTGAAATAAGGTCAAAACGAAAGTTTTGCAGTGCCGCACTAAGTACACGCTCACTAGAGCAGGAAAATTAAGGACGAGAAAAATTAAGGGAGAAAAAATGGACAGAAAGCGGAGAAGGGAAGGGGGCAGGAGAAGAGAAGGAAACCGATGGTCACACTCGTACTTTTTATATTGGCTATAGTTTTGGGACGACCAAAAAAGGACGGACAAAGGCTGTTTTAGCTTCACATTTTCATAAATCTAATATTAACACAAACCACTTTCCTACACCATAGATTTAGTGAAAAAAAATCACGCACGAAGAGGAGATGAATAGTTAATTCACTTTCTTTTTCAGCATTACTTCTCCTTTGTTCCTTTCCCAAAATTAAGACAATCAAACTCCTCCTCTCTCTCAATCCCTTGTGCTATACGTAAATAACTTCGGCCTTTAAATTAAAGATTTGAGACTAAAAGCCTGACTGCTTCGTCCAAATGTTTGTTTATGATTCGACAAAGTAACAAGACTGGGTAATTTCTTTGAACGGCAACTGATTATGTACCAGGGGAATCAAGATCTATTTTAGCAATGCCATAAAATAGTATTCAGCTTGTAATGTTACTTACTCGTTTGCACCGTTTGTTTCCCAAGGCTTACAGATGAGTTCTCGGTGAGGACAGCCACTCTAAACTTGAATAATACTGGACTGTAGACTGAACGAAATGGAGCTGACCTGACGTAAGCGCAAAGACTTGGGAATGATATTGTGGCCTCTGGTATAACAAACACCTAGGAAACGCCATAAATTAGGTGGGCTAATAACAACGTGTAAGAAATGTCTACAAGCGAGAGATCGATCGAGAGCAAGCGTTCCAAAAACGATAGACTATATTCAATCTACCTCCGACAAATAGACAGGCCAAAAAGAGTTTCCTCCACTATCGGAAAACGCCATTTCAATCATGTAAACAGGGCTACCAGTCGTATTTTGCACAGCCTCCCAATTCAAGCTGATGGAGGTCAAACTCCGGTTTGTTATTGAAGGTGTTCCTGGAGTTGGGGTAGAGGAATTATCTCCATTTGTTACTGAAGAGAAGTTTTTAACCTTGGTTAAAAACTCACAGCTCTCAAGACAGCTGCTTGACGCTCTCTGAAATACGAAACAAATTCAATTAGAAAACGGCAAATTGAAATTGGTGTGAAATGACAAATGACCTGAACATTTACAATAAACTGGCACAGGTGTGGTGCACACGAACGCCAGGAATTTCCAAAGGTGTAGGCACTTACGCAGGTCTGTTTACATGCTGCCTCATCAGCATCAGATAATCCACATGGACCTAAGCACTAAAATTAAAGAAAGAGTACAAATATCAAGGATAGAAAATGAATATTTAACAATTAATGAATGAGGCTGAGTACCTCCGAAGAATTACGGAGATCGAGGAGAGTGTTATCCGTTGAAGCCGTAGGCCGAGGCGGATAACACCCTCCGAGATCTCAATAATTCTTCATATGATACGAAAGCCGAATTCAATAATCGTTTTATTATTCATTCAAAATACTTCCTAGTTTAAAAACATAGCTAAAACATGTTTACCTCCATCGATCCATCGATGTTAAGTTCATCTTCGATAGTGAACGTTTAGGGTTGTTCAGCTCCCCAAGCATTCTCCCAATAGCAGATGTCGCCCTTCGAGTTAATTGTCTTCTTGGGCGCTGTTCTTACCATGTTTTTAGCTATTTTTTCGCCTAGTTCTTACTCTTGAAACGAGTGAAATGTCCGCTATTTTTCAAGTTCACAACCAAAACAACTCAATCTTGCAAACAGGTGAGTAAAAATGTCAATCATATCTCTAACCTGCAAGAAAGCTGCACTTTTGACGTCATCGGTTCATTAAACGCAAATTCTTCCAAATTTGGTCATCAGTAGCTGGTTATGGTGAATTATGCGTGTTCTTTTAGCCAATCAGAATCGGGGAAATATTTTGAATGAATAATAATGTTAAATAGTGGTTTCACCTATTATAAATGTTTTTCGATGTTTTGTACTCTCCTTAACCCCATGAGATTGAATTGTGTTATTATTTTAAACTTCACTGAATGAAAATAATGCTACTTACTTCTTTACAGTCATTTGTTTGACAAGGAATTTCAGTTTCATTGCTCGCTGGATTCTAAAACAAATTAAAGAGGAATGGGTTATAATACGAAGCTTAACAAACTTTAACCAGGGACTATTTTAGTTTTCTTATGGCTTAGGATTCATTACCTTTAATCATGAAAATCACGCCAAACAGATATCGTAATTTTGTTTCTAACGCTTATAATAAGTACTGGCGAATAGAGCACTAGCTATCTATGAGAGAATTTAGCACAATGGTTGACAGTCTTAGTCAGTCGCCCACGAAATGATCAAAAGTCGAAAGTCCCGTGTGCGACCACATCTTGTAAGCGAGCACCTATCCCAAACAACAAAACTTTCCCAGCCGACGCCCTATAGTTAGAACCTCTCGTAAGCGACCACCTATCAAAAACACAAAGTTTCCCTGTCTACAATCCTTATAGTAAGCACATTGCCTGAGCGACCATCTGTTGTATGCGACTGTGCATGACCACTTTTTGGGCTGACGGTTGTTTTTATGTTTCCAAGCGACCGCTTGCCTGTGTATACTGAGTTCACTGACTCAGAGTATGTGAAAAACCTTGAGTGAGAACGTGGAACTAAATATCGTCACTTAGAAATTGCATACAATTGAAACTCTTCGATCCAAAAGAAGGTGTATATTGGGGATCTTCTCTTTTGAAGGGAACCCCTGTGGCCCGACTCTCGTAAGTGATCACTTCCTGTAAGAAACCACTGACCTTTCCCATCTTGGGTACTAGTCGCTCACGGGAAGATCAAGGGAATTTTCTTTTGATCCCTTAAGCTTTTTTAGAGTGATTTGAGTCATTTAGAATTCGCTTATTCGTTCATTCTTTCACGGCTATTGAGAATATAAGATTTGAAATTTATATGCGTCTTATTTGGATGCACTAACAGTTTTTGTTTTTTCTCACGGAGTTTGTTTGCCAAATACTACTAGATACTTGAGTTCCCGATGTTAAATTTTTCACCCAAAACTGGTTTCAAGGCTTTTTTGCTGATCGTTTTCATGGTAATATCAATTATCGATTTTAACAAAATTTAATCCAAAGTCAGTTATTGGTAAGGATTTTATAACGATCTTACGAGGATATATAAAATCACTTTTACGTCGACTGAAAAATATTGGTATGGGGTCTGAAAAACTGTATCGAAACACCCTAATTTAACCTTGAGAATTGCCTTTTCAGGATATATTATGTACATATGCGACATTTTGTCTTTCGTATCACACGCCACTTAGAGCTGTATGGAAACTGAGTGATAACCAAATTTTAAAATCATTCCGTCATTCTCCATTTTGCGAATAAAGAACTGGTGTAAATTTCAATAATTAGGGGAGCGAAAAGGCTAAACTTGAAAGGTACGTATATTCTCGCTTTAGGCTCAAACCTCAAGAATATCCATATCATAAACTAACTTTTCAGACCAAAATTAGACCGGCTTAAAACAACAACAACAAAATGCCAAATTGAAAACAAAAATTGTTTTTTTAAATTGAGTTTTGATTGCCTTCTTTTGTGATTTTTTATTATTCTTTGTTCGATTAAAATTCAATTTGCTTGAGATAAATTTTGACGATTAAAAACTACCAGACCCTTATTGTTGACGAACATTTCATATCTTAACATGTTTTGAGTCATATCTTGGCTGATATCGTTCCGCAATTCCCTTTGAACTTCTGAGTATAATTAATTATACCCTGTCACAGTAATATGTTAATGAGGGCAAAGTGCTAAGCAGTCAGTCAGCAGTGTTTTGATAAACCTAAGGAAATTTCAAGTTTTATTTACAATTTAAGACCGGCAGTTGAAAAGAGAAACCGTTTCCGCTAAAAAAGACCTTGTACAATATGAGCTAATATATTACTGTCCAGTAGGAAAGAGCAATAATTTAGCAATATGAAATTGTTGCCAACTTATAACTGTTAATTTGTGATAAGAACTGCGATGTTATAAAAAGGTCATAATCTCCTTTCTTCCTGATTCATAAAAAACACGTTTAAATCACTACTTGAAGCAGAGCTATGGAATAAATATAAAGGTGCTAACGAGAGTTTTCTTTGTTTTGGGAAGTCGTAATTATTTTGCATCCGGTTGTCTTCGCGATCGTCAGTCTTCTTGCATGTTCCTTCGAATCAGGCCCTACAGCGTGATTCGTTACATTCCATAATTGTTTTATTTTACGAGGCGATAAATCAACCATATTCTCTGACTTCCATCAAACGCTTCGATGCAAAGGTCATTAGAGAAAGGGACAAGACTATGCAGATAAGCAACAATTTTAAATTGGAATGAAAAAACGTGTCCAAATTGAAATCGGCTGGAATTGTTTGATATTGGGCAATCAATTAGATAATTTGTGCGTTTCAACTTATTGAAGATGGCTATTATTTCTTTCAAAATCAACTATTGAAGTAAAAATAATATTCATGGCATTGTCTTTAAGACAGTAGATTTGTTTGAAACTACGAGAAACTGATAAGGGACACTGTTCAACTTCAAAGACAGCATGGCACAGATCGTTTTAAAACGGCCGCCTTCCGAGAAAGAATATTGAAAGGTGACTCACCTTCGTCAAGCAATTTGCGTAGCATCTAGCTTTGGTAACAATCGCTTTCACTCTTGGGTTTCCACTGACCGAGTTACTACATCCAGTAAAAATCCAGAGAAAGAACAAAAACTTGTAGGAATATTGAATGTAGAGCCAGCGAGGCTGCGTTGCAAGACACATGCTAACATAATCCACACAGTTCAAATATTGTTGATCAGTCAGTCCTGTTCAGAACGAAAGACAGGGATGCATGAATATTTGCACTTAATATGTTGACAAATTGACGTTTCCGGCTGGCAGTGGGTTAAAATTTTAAGTGGAGATACTGGAAGATACTGGGGCATTACATTTTTTTGTCTATTATCCTTATTTTTTACCTGAGGACATGGTATCAATGCAAAGGGACATAAGAAACATTTCATGATTAAACTATCGCACTTCATGCTTCCCCGTGATCATATGTCGACGTTAAAATTCAGAATTTCAAGATCGATGCGCAAGACCTGTCGATGAGGGACTGATTATGGAAACGACTTATGTTATAAATAGGCTTGGATTGTTTATCTAGTAAATTTGCGTTGGAATAGTTTTAACATCCTTTTTCCTTGTTCCCATTGGGAAACTACTTCCCGATGAAAGCAGCTGTCAATAACTTAATTCGCCGCCGATTTATCCTTACTTTATCTCAATAAAGGTTTTATCGGGTAACCACAAAATGGGAAAAACAAAATTATATGAAAGATGTTTATTTTGGGTCGCTAACTGGGTATATTACGTTTGCTTTTGTTGTGAAGGTGTAGTAAGGGATGATAACCATTGCTTTTTTCAAAGAAGTTCAGATAAACTTACAGGCAGATGTAAAGAATGTTTCAAATCGTAGAATTATAATTGTGCATTTTTCCATCATGATAAAGACTATAAAGGATAACACGGTGTCAAGATTAGCAAAAGGTAAATTCTGGGTACAATTTGCTTCTGCAATCCGCTTTGACTTTCATTTTTTCAGCTTAGTTAGGGTGTAACAAACAACATGAACACACCAATAATGACACAACAAAACTGTAGAAACACAAAATTACCAAATTGCTCGCTTTATCTTCCCTTGTTAATCTTGGCGACAAAACATGAGCCAGCTTTAGGGCAATTGAACTTATCAATATACCAAACTGACAGACAACTGGGTTTTATTTACCAAATTTGAACAGGACAAAGGAAATATAATTACGCTAGTTATATTAGTCTTACGAAAAAAAAAAAGAGTATTTATTTAACAAATATGTGCCATGCGTTGCTACTCTATTGCGTTTTAGTAATTTTGGGCTATCACTCAGTCAGGTGAAAAATTACCTAAAAGGTTGCACAGAAATGATTCATGCTGGATGGCGAAAGAGATATCTTCTTTGGAGACTTTGGAATTAGAACGAACGTTTCGTGTTTCGTGTGTTGATTAAAAGGAACACTTCTCCATACAAGAGTTTTCTGAATCAATTTGATATTGGTTTTAATATTTTGTCCACTGAGTCATGTATTCATTTTGAGTCCAATTGAGCAACAAACTTGTAATATTTGGCAACTCGGTGTTCACGGCCTAAATAATTAAATAGTGAATGGTGACAAAAAGTAATAACGGTGTGAGAAAAAAAATTTTGCCGGCTGATTTTCTCGCTTGAAGATGTAACGTACAACTGCACTTCCCCGTAAGCTACCTCGTATTGTGACCCAGCGATTCAACCTTTATAAAGTGTTCATGCCGAATTTATTCGTTGAACGAGCACTACCATAACTGAGTTATCGCCGGCTCTCTCATAATGAATCCAGCTGCCCATGAACGCAATAACATGCTTATTGGTATAAGCACTGGGCTCTGTTTATTCAAAAGAGTTCGATTTGATAGTTTTGAGTTAAATGCATAACATTTACTATTAATAGCAAGGAACGATCTGTTTACTTTCTAGGTCAATGGCGATGTTCAATTAAGGAATCAAAACTATCTGGTACCGTTAGTACATGTGCGCTGAAAAGGTTTTGTAACAACTGATATTTATGGTAAATCAGTCAGTATCAGGTTATAAAACTTAGCATCCAAAATTTCATTGCTTTCACCGAAATGTGACAATGAGTTGGCGTTTGTATTTGTCTCACGTAATTGGCTACAACATTTTGACGATAAGCGAAAGGCAATTGAAACTATGACCTCCAGAGTAAGCGATTTAGAAATAATGCCATAATTTGTGATTGGAAGTAAATTTAATTTATCTTTTTTTTATTCTTTAGCCAATTCAAGCCAAACACAATTTAACTGTCAAAAAATAGTTATGTCTCGCAGACATCTGTTCAGTACTTTGCGGTTTAAGGTTCAGTTTTAGATGTACTCGGAAGCTATACGTATTTTCATTAACCGTAACGGTGTCCGCTATGTGTGGATACTTGTTCCCCGGCAAAATAAATAGTCAAGGCTTGCTAGGCCTTTTTGGATAATTTCTTTCTCTGTCTGTTTGAACTTACAAAAAAGGCTGCTAAGTTCTATTAAGCTCTTTAGAGGCCTTGGCGCTGTCATGATGAATGTTAATAATCCAGTTTATTTTAGCTAATAGTACAAGTTGGCAAGTAAGAGCAATTTTTCTTATAAGTTATTTGTTTGAAATGTAATATACTGCCTTACAAACTGGATACATTTTTTTTGCTAGGAATCAGCTTCTAGTTTACTAAATAAAATGAAAATTTTCCAAATTTCATTAATTGCTCCACTCGTGTTATAAGATATAAATGTAGCCATTATGAATTTCCTGATGAAAAGAGAGATTTTGTTTCAGGAGGTATACCCTTGAAACATTAAATTACATTTTAATCGTATCCGATAAGAGATGAAAATATCATTGATAAATCAGTGTTCATTCCCTATTTATATACTAGTAGGTAAGTACTTTTGCAGTTGTTATCTTTCAAAATGGAAATTTATTAGTCATGGCAATTTAGAGCTGAAGACTTTTGAAGACTTCAGAAGATAAAGTTTTAATAAATAAATGTTTCTCATCATGGCGTGATTAGTGAATTCGAGGCAGTCGATCTCCCCATTTATTTTGATGCTACATTTACAAACTAAAACCTAGTTATACTTTTTGATAAGCGTATTTTAAAAAAGTGCTGAAGTTAGATATTTCAATCAGATGCTTATAATGGCAAACACGACAAATGTTTTTTCCATCTGATTCCGTGTTCCGGATGTTTAAGAGATCGTTCACATGATGAAGCTATATCAAGTAATCTTCAATTCGTCGTGTCTTTTGCTGACATTTTTGACGCAGTTTATTTTACCATGATACTATTCGCTCTTTCGAGCTCTTATTTTCTCGTTAAAACAAGAGACAGATTCGCAGATTTTAATTTTTCAATTTGTGGAAGCCTGTAAAGTACTTAAACAACAAAAACTAAAATATTTTAAAAATTCATTATAAAATATTATCATGATTTCATGGGAAAAACTAAAGTCTTTCAAATATAATTATTCAGATTGTAATCAATCACTGTATTCACCTTCCCAGTATAGCACCCTGGTCATACCTAAAAATAGTGAATGAAGTGTTTGCCGGGAAATAATCTTCCAGATATTTCATTAATAAGGGTTACATAAGGAATATGAAGTTCGGTTAGTTCCTTAAAGAGCTTAATTTTTACCCACCTCGTTATGGCGCGTGTGGAGCGACGTTCCAGTTTCAAACATTAGCTTTTTAATAATTCTATTTATGCAATTTCAACAGCAAATGGCCTAAGAAAAGCTTTAATATAAGCGAAATGATTAAATATTTGTCAATTTCTCTTTTGTTTGCAGGTTGACAATATCACCCGTGGGGCCAGTTGTCATAATAAGAAGCTATTTTACCACAACCGACGTTACTGTAATGCCGCTGTTTTGTCAGACCACACTAACCGCATCAGTTGGATCCACATTTTCACAACAAACAGCTTGCTTTTTATCATACTAAATTTGTATTTTAACGATCTAAATTTCACGGCAAATTGAAAACGCTGTGTAAGCTATTCAGAGTACTTTTGGATCTCTACTGAAATGCACTGCCAAGCGGCGCTATTGCTGGTTTTCAGTGTCACGCCATTCAATATAGATCAAAATAAAATTCAAAACCGTTCAATAGATAAAGTTCAGAATCTGGGAAATGAAAGGAGGTACATATACAAAGACCCTCGCCAAGATTCAAGTCAGAGGAATATTTCGTATACGAGATATCCGAAGAAATGTTTTACCCAAAATTATAGAGATTTGTATGGAGACGCCATGCTGGTGCTCATCTGGGTGAGCTCCAACATGGTGGACGGAAACCAACAGAAAGATCTGTTACCGAGTTTTGCTACAAAAGCGTGAATTCATTCTTCGAGAAACTCATAAACATTAAAGTAATAATTTTTCTAATACATGAACTGTTTAGATAGCAAACGTTGCTGAAATAAGTCATTTTTTTAACCTACATGACAACTCTCTTGGCCGTCATGTAAATGCCGCGCCTCGCAAAAGCTTAGAAATTCAAGCTTACTCCACAAAACCAAGAACCCTTTTTAAACGAAAATTTTGTATGAAAATTAGTTTTCAGCTGCTATAATGCATCGTGAAAGTAAAATATCGGTTTTATCGATAGTTTTTTATTTTGAATTTTAGTGACGCCATTTGAAAACCTACAATAAAATTTGTATCTGTTCGGTCATCCAGGGTAACTCACGCCGTCAGAGCCTTATTGAATTATATTTAGAAGGGCTTCAGAATTATTTCCCCGCAGATTTGGACTGAATTAAGCAATTTAAAGCTTAACGAAGGTGAGAGTTTGTCTGATCTTCTGGCCTCTCTCCATTACCTTTTCAAATTCAAAACTTTAAGATTTCCTTTTTCTTTAATAGCTAAAACTAGGCTGAAATTCGTAAGAAAATTATTAGACAAGCTTCCAAAATCATACATGAATGGAACTGCAATCTAGAAATTTTTATCCGTTCTTTAAAGCTATGAAACATTCTAGGCAATATTTGCTTCTCAGCTTGAACAGAATTGCCCTTTAATACAGAAAACAGTCGGTTGGGTGTCCTTGTGAAAAGCTCACTAATAGATAAGTAACTTCTTAACATCGTTCAACGTTATTTGATCTTAACTGAGTTATTCTCGTTGCAAAACAGTCTCG